ATTAATTTTCGTTGACTAGAAATCAAATTCCATTGATTTCGTTTCTAAACGTGAAGCAAACATAAAAAATGGGAGAAAATAAGGAAAACAAGTTCTCGAAACTTATTTTCTTCGAAAAAAACATAGCCTCGGATTTAGATTTTATTGGATGTGTTGATTTAAAAAAAAATTCACATTTAGCGACCTATTCATATTAGCTAAAAAAAACAATTTCATAAAAGAATGCGAAATAGTTTATCATTGCCGCATCCACTATGAAAGCTAACTTTGTGGTATCCTTTAAGGCTACCATTCATGGATTATGATTGTAGAACTTTATTTCAAAGACTTGGAATTGTCGATAGTATTGTCGGATTGTTGAAAATTTATTATGATACCTCAATAACAATTTTTTTCTTCTAAAAGCAACAAATATTCTAAGGATGCAAAACATATAAAAATAATTTTTTTTATTGTTAAAAAATAAGTTAGAAAATAAAAAGCATCAATTGAGTATATTAGCACCAACATTATGATTACGGATCCTTGACAAAAGGATTGCCGCCTAGAATATTTAATGAATATATTGAAATGATGGATATTTTGGACATCATTAGTGATATTGTATTACGTTTTTATTAATTTATATATTTGACACTCTAAACTCACTTATATGTTTATGATGTTTCATGTTTTCTATTTAGTATACATAGTTGCTTTAGAATAATATTGATAATAATATTTTTATAATAAAGACATTAAAGTTGGACTAATATTATTCTTATTAAAGATCATGTTAAATTGAAAGTTAGCGTTGTCATATATGGAAAAGACTATGTCAAAAAAATGACATATAATCGCCATGACTTGCATTAACAATTCAATTTAATAATGACACAACATTATAGACGATGATTATCACTTTTACACATTATGTTCTTCTTATTAAATCATAAAGACAATATCATATCGACCAAGCGAAAGAATATAAAAATTAATTACGACCCACAAGAATGTAAAATTAATTATGACCCACATGATACATGTGTATAGAATGATGTATAATAAATGTATTTAGAATGTAAAATTAATTCTAATTCATATGATACATAATACTTAAAATATATCCAATTAATTAAGATACATGATATTAATTATGATACATGTATATTTAAAGTGTATCATACATATATTAATTAATTAGGATACATGCATCTATATTATGATACAAGTAATTAATAATGATACATGATCAAATCTTGATGAAAGACTTAGGGAGTTTTTGATAACCTATTTAAATAGCTTAAGAAATTAAGTTGTAGTACTTATTATAAAAAAGTTTGTTTGATAACCTAAATAATCTCATCTTTAAAATTCAAATTTAGTCAAAATCTACTTAATTAGATAAGTCAAAAATTTTAATTTAAATTTTTTTGATTAAAACGCTCGGTTGAAAGATATTTAAAACTTTTTAAATATGACTATATAGCTATCATATATTTTTATAGCCCTTAGGTTGTTGTCGGTATTATTTAAAATATTTTTTTCATTTTAGTTTCAATTCAATTCAAATGAATCCGGTGAACACCCTCGAGTCAAAAAGAAAAAAGAAAAGAAAAGAAAAACGAAACCAATCTTTCTATGAAAGAAAGAAAAAAAAACAAAATAAAAGACACAAAGCTTGAGTTTGTAAAACATGGCTTCAATGGCACCACCAAAAGTCCTATTTTAGGGCTAGTCGATGATGTTGAGTTTTGGTTTCGACATGGGAACAATGCAATTGTGGAGTATCGATCCGCATCACATTAGGAAAATTTGATTTTGATTACAATAGAAAGAGAATCAAGGTATTGAGATTGGAGCTCGGAGAGGAAAGGATGGGCATCTGCATATAGTTTATGAAGGACCCATACTTGGTAGCTGCATTTAGAACTTCGATAGTATTCATTGATCTTGAAATAAAGAACCAAAAGAACAAAGAATATGATGAACCTAGAAAATTTTACATCTACCCTTGTAACCCATGATCCTATGATGATTAAGGAAAGACCCCATTTCTCTTCTAGGGTTTTCTATGATCTAATGATCTAAGAATAGACCGATAGATAATCTTGTGGGCACTGGTGCTGTAATAAAGTCCATGTGTTTACATAAAGATTCCGTTAACTTATGACAAAGGGTCGAGGAAGCTTGAACCATAAGCCTCGATCCTATAATGATGACTAGGAGTGTGTATTGATAATTGATTTAAAAAAATAATCCAAATGAATCAATGAAGGAAATTGAGATTCTTTATTAGCATTACATATGTCATTCTAAAATTGAAATTGAAATATGATTAATTTTCAATTGATATGCTTCTTTTTCATTTTTGATTAACATATCTCCTCTTTGCAAGAAGCGGCATATACCTATTTTTTGACTTTTACATCACAAATTTAACGAGGTTCCATTGTTTGTCTTCAAATGTTGTACATGTCATTTTGTAACTACAAAAAGTCGTTGATTATGAACGAAGCCAAACATGCGGCAAGGCTCTGTTCGGACCGTTTTGCTTTAAGCTATGATCCTTCAAAAACCTTAGAACAATGATTTTATTGAGTAATTCCTTGATAAAATGAGGACTATTGCAAATTATAGCTAGAGGGAACCGAGATCCTCTTCCATGGAGCAAGGAAAATGAAGAAAGGTGGAGAGAGATAAGTGCAAGGAGGAAGTAGAGAGAAGGAAAAGGTGTATCTAGTTTCCGTGTCCACATAAGGAGGAGCTAAACTAAAGTCAAGTGGCTCAAGTTAGTTGTGATATCGAAAGATAATTAGTTTTCAAAAAATCATGTTAACTCGTTCTTAATTTGCGTTTGCGTTAAAAAATCATATTACAATTGCAAGGTTAAAATTGTCCCGTATATAGTTTTAATATGTTCGGAACAATATATATCAAAAAATATTATTATATTCGGTATTTAATTTTCGGTAAACAACAAACAACTTGTTAATAACATATTTAGTACTTAATTATTCAGCATTTAAAATTTAATACTTAATAGATTCAATACTTAATTTTCAGCTTTATCAAACAACATCTTAGTTTTGATTGATACAAATGCCGATGGTGGACTTAGTTTCAAATGATGCGAAAGTTGATCCAAATATATATATATATATATATATGTTCTTGTAAAGATGCTCTAGCAAAGTATTGACATGCATGAGTAGATATTGTTGTGTTATTTTTTTTTCTTTGGCATAACAACAAAGAATGTACTTTATAGGAAGGAATATATACATCTCGAGTGATATTACCCCACTTATGACGCGACCAAAATTTAGGATACCTCTATCAGTGTAACTCATCAAATGTTGATTTTTTTTGTTTTTTTGGTTTTTAGACGAGATAGACTTTTATTAAATTCAAAACAGTAAAATCTAGAAGCTTTTTCATCCAAAAATGGAATTTTCATTCATATGTAGAAAAAACAATCTTACATCATATCATCAATTGAAATCAATTTAAAGTAATATTATTTACTAATAGAAAATAATAAAAAATTTAATGGACCCTAGACATGTGCCACTGATGAATTTAAAGAATTTGATTTTTAGAATCAATAAAAAACTAGATGTAATCTAGTATTGATCTAGTTTAAAAAAAATTATGAATTTAGTTTTGTTTTATGTAAAAACTAGTTTCAAAATACCCTAATATATATATTAACATTCAAAAACAAATGAAGAAATTTTACAATAAAAATTGAAATACAATACAAAATTTAGCTAGAGAAAAACAAGTTTCTCCCTACTAAAAACCCATACAAGAGATTGAGACATGTATTTTATTCCCAACTCACAACCAGAAGTACGTTTGGTCATCTGTTTATTAGATTTTGAATAAAGTTTTATTCAATTAATTAATTAATTAATGCTCGATTAATCATTTTGATTTATTTTCTATGTTTGGGAAATATAATCAATTATATCAGGATATCTATCTGATGTCAGATTCCAACGGATCTTTTGTCGACGTACGTTTATTGATACTGATCTTTTGTCGACGTACGTCTATATATTGAGTTGGGTGCTAAAAATAAGAATTACAACTCACAACAAGGATTTTTTAGTGTTTGCAAAAATAAAATCAAATAGGTATGAAATAATCTCTTCACCTAATTGAGTGGTTATTTTTTTCAATGAATTTATCAATTTTTTTTTCTAAGAACGAATTTATCATTATACACACGAAAAGATAGAAACCGATGAATATACATTCAAAGTGTTTTAATTATTTATTATAAGCATGTTTGAACCCCTTGTTTTTTTTTTTAAAAAAAAAACTTTTACTTTTTATTTTAAATTAAAGCGGTTGAAAGTTTTACATTGGTAAACAATTTTAAACTTCATTATTGACTTTAAAAATTGGAAAATGATTCGACTTATAAAATATATATTAGTTTCAACTATTTCAAAAAGATATGGTTTTTGGAACGGAATATTGCTTTTTAAAAAAAAAAAAAGAAAAAACAACTTCAATTTTTTTTTAAGTAGCGCATATTTAATTACTAGATATCTATTGCAAATTTCTGAGTATTATTATATTACATTCTCAACCTTATTTCTCCAAATATAAATATTATAATTTTTTCAAGAGCAAACTTGTATACATTTTTAATTGTAAAATGTATGCATAACTAATAATATTAATAATTAATATTTTAATATATATTATTGATGATATGAAATATATAAATAAGTTAATTTTTATAGGTTTTACGGCACATTTTGCCTCCAAATTACTATAATTTGGTAATTTCGAGCTCAAAATATCAAATTGCGTAATTTGAACCCCAAAATATTAAAGATTAAGCAAATATAATCCAAATTACCTAATCTTTGTTATTTCTAGCGATATCAATTGTCAATTGATCGTTACTTAATTAATTTATTTTTTTAATGAAAGCCGTTGTAATTGAAAGATTTTATGACAAATGGCATGTCTCTCATCCCCTTTCAATTGTAAATTGAATTTCAATACAGGATTGTCTCATGAACCCTAACCTTTAATCTCACAAAATCGCTATTAATTATAACTGGGATATCACCAATCTTTTTCAAAGTTTCTTTCCTAGGTTGCTCATCAACTCCAATTGCCATGATAGCTTGCTTCCTTGGGGCAATCCTTCCAACACTCATGAAGCTGACATTCACATTTTCCTCTCTTAATACACTTCCCACCTTGCCAATCATACCAAGTTGATCAACTTGTCAGCATAGTATGATGCTACCTTCCAATCTCTCATCAACGTTAAAAGATCCAACCTTGGTTAAGTGGGGAATTCCATCCTTCACTCGTCCCTCAACCTTAATCTCCCCAGTCTCTTAAATGGCATTGGCGATTTGAACCTGGATAAAGCCAAGTGGACTCTAGGTGAACAATTTAAAAGAATGTGTTCTTCACTTATTCTTAGTCCCCTCTATTTAGCACTAAAATCAACATTAACTAAGTTCACAAAAACATTGGATATAGGCCCAATTAGACCCTCGATGATCATGGCACGGAGCACCCTGGTATCAAGGTCATCTGGAGCCCTAGCAGAAGCATAAGTCACTTTCACATCTTTCACGCCACTTCCACCTGACACGAGCTGAAAATCAAATCTCCCAAGCTTCTTAGCAATCTCAACAAATAGTTTCAGCTCATATCTCCAAAGAGACCATCTCATGAATTCTAACAACTCTCTCACAATTCGTTATTAATCTCGCAATCTCTCCCCTTCTCTTCATGTCTCTGTCTCTCCCATTTTCAATTAAGCTTTCCTGTTTTCAATTAAGTTTTTACGTGAGAAATTGAAATGGGTAAGGTAGACATGTCTACCTTACCTCTTTCAATTCTTCTCGGCTTTCATTAAAAAAAAATTAAGTAATAGTCAACTAATAGTTGATCGTTAAAAATAATAAAAATTAGATAATTTGAATTACATTTGCTAAATCCTCAACATTTTCGGATTCAAATCACGTAATTCGATAGTTTGAATTCGAAATTGTCAAATTGCAACACTTAGAAGGCAAAATATGCCATAAAACCAATTTTTCTAGGATTTTTAAATTGAAATAAATTCAAGTACAAAAATTATTTTAAATTAACGTGAAATTTTAAATATAAAATATTGGTGTTAATTTTTTTTAATTTAGCTATTAAAAATTTTATAATAAATTTATGCGAGTTTATAGTTTTTCTTTTTAATTCAAAAAGTATAACAATAAATTTATGAGCTAATTACATTTTCGGTCTTCTAACATGTCATTTTTTTTCTAATCAAGTGTGTATTCTTTAATCATTTTTATTTGAGGAGACCAAGTTGTAATTTTTTTCTAATAAAACGTTTCCATTAATTCTCCTTAACTTTAACTTTATGCCGACGTGATTATTAATTAACCGCACATATGACACCAATATATGGGCCCCTCTATTAGTTTTTACAAACTTATCAGTTTCTTTTAATTTTGAATGTATAGATTTTGATATTTGCTATTTGAGTGTACTAACTTGTAATATACTTTTTTTCTATTTGAATGGTTCTCCTAACTCAATACTAATGTGTTTGATAATTGCATATATGACACCGTCATGTAGGTTCCATTATTAAATGTGTGTGTGTGTATGCGCGTGTGAGTAACTAGTACAAAAGTATTTATTATTTAAGAAATAAATGTTTTTTAAAAAAACTACTATAAAAATGAGAACGAATCAACCAATAAATATATAAAATTAAACCAAAAAAATCTTTAATTAACCATCTTATCCAACCCATATTTAGGCCGTCCTCTATTTCAAATTAAAACTCAATTTCATATCGTTATCTTTCAAACAATTACCATTCTCAACTTTTCTACTTAGAATGAGAATGGATTGTTGTCTTAGTGAATGAACAAAACTAAACTTTTTGTTTTAATTTTCAATCATTTTATTGGATCTAAATATGTTTAAGTAATTTATTTGATCTATTTTTTAAAATTATTTTTACGTAAATGCCATAAATATCTTATTTTTGTTATGTAATTTAATTTATTTTTATTGTTGCTATTTGAGAATGAGAATAAATAATTATTTTTTAATTTTTTTCTAGTTACCATGTTTCTTGACAATTGATTCACATGACGGTTTCATGTGTAGTTAACAGACATGTCAATGTAAAATTAACAAAACCATTTAAATATGAAAAATTACAAGTTTGTATCTTCAAATAAACAAAATTGACAGGTTTGTAAACAAAAAAAAATGATATTGAAGTCTACTATTGGTCCTATGTGTGCAGTTAACATCCATGTTAGTATAAAGTTAATGGAAAACATTTGATTAAAAAAAAATTGTAACTTGGTAACAACGATTAAAAAGCACATATTTAATTAAAAAATTGACAAAGTGGTAAAAAAAAATAAAAAAAATTAATTCTAAATTTATTGAAAACAAATCATCATAATTTTTTTTTCAAACAATCTGATACATTTGAAACACGAATCAGCACAACGCAATACAGGGAGTCAAAGTTTCTTTGTTTTGGTATTTTCTTCTGGAAAGTTAGAATATATTTTCTAAAATATACAAATTTAGAAGTAGACAGATAAGAAGACATGAGGCACTCGTGAGGTTTTTACCATCTTTAGCTCTGATCTTACAAAACTAGGCACTCTTTGTAGTAATGGTGAGATTCTGAGGTAGGAAAAGGGCGTACGTATCTCTAAATAGATTTATCAGTTTTTTTTTTTTTTTAATTATAGAATTTGCATTGATATTGTGGATACTGACTTGGATTCTGTTCGGTCTATATATTTTTCTTCTAGAAAAAAGTTAGGGAAAAAAAAAAAAACAGAAAGAAGTAAGTATAACATCAATTAGCTAGTCAATTAATTATATTAAATCGTATCTGATTAAAATACCACCACCATCCCGCCCCCACCGCACCCCACCCGACAAATTTGGGTTTTTATTTTTTTATGCTACAGTTTATTATCGCTATTTATACATAACGCTAATTTCTTCTATTTGCCTTCCATAATTTCTCACGGCAATTTGATCTCTCCTCTGCCCTCTTCATCAAACGTGGTCTTTTTTTTTCGGTATGTTGTTTTTATATCCATAAACTTTGAAAATAAATTAGTGAAAAGAAACCCTATAAATTTCTTTATCATGATCATGCCACCAAAAAGGATATTTATACTGAGGTTGTCTACATAACTTGGAGTTCTTTGTTTTCTAAAATGTGTTTTGTTAGAGCCCAAGATCGATCAAACCGAAAGGAGTGATTGATTTGGAGAAGAAAGAATAAGCCATGAAAGAAGATACAGAGGCTGGTTCATCCACAAACGTTGTTAATGGCCAGAAGACCTCGAATGGAGAGGATCAGAAGGTTGCATTTTACAAGCTGTTCACGTTTGCAGATAGGCTTGACGTGGTTTTGATGATCGTTGGAACGTTATCTTCCGTTGCTAATGGCTTCGCTCAGCCTCTGATGACACTCATTTTTGGCCAGCTTATAAACTCCTTTGGTACCAGTGGTCGATCAGACATTGTTAAGGAAGTTTCAAAGGTAATTTCCCTACACATTGTTTGAATTAATGTTTTTGTTTTTCTTTCGTTTCTTATTTTTGGATTTTTTTTTTTTTTTTTTTTTTTTTTTTTGAAGTTTTGCAGCTATATAGGAAGATTTTAGTTCATAAACTTATTATTATTATTATTATTATTTGTAAAAAAAAAGGGATTGTTTATTCCCTTTTTGCTTTCTTTTCTTTTTTTAATGTTTGTTTTATTTTGTGATTATGATGGATGAATTGAATTACACAATCTTATTTGGTACTTCTTGTCTCCTTTTCTTTTGCCGTTTCTCTGGGTGAAAATTTGGTGGAAAAAGGATGTTTGCTTAGCTTTTAAGTTTCCCAAAAATAGTAATGGGATGATAAATCTTTCTTTCTTGAAGTTAAGGGTCTCAGAGAAAAAAAGTGCATTGACATTTTATCCATTACCTTTAGCTTGGATTAAAATGCTGAAAGAAAACATGATGGGATTTTCCAAACTCCGAAAAGTTGTCTTCTGCTTTCGGTTTTTTACCCCTTGGCAATAATGTTGCATCGATGCAGTGTTAGATTGTGGAACCACCTATAGTCAACTTAATAATTAGATTGGCAACCCTGCATAAATGCAGCCTAAAAAATGAACTTGCCAGTTTTTGGAGGCTATGTATACCTGCGGGTCCATCCTAATTCAATATTTACCTTTGCTATATATCCATGCATTGATTGTGTTTACTGTTAGTATCTCAAGTGGGAATTAAGCAGGAGTGCTAGTCCTATCTCACAAGAAAAACCAAGAAGAATGGACGGCAAGAAAAAATTATAATTCAGCCATTAGTTTGATGGAACCCAATGATAAGTACTCTCATAGGAAATAACTGCAGTTTTATTTTATTTTATTTTATTTTAAAATTATGTGAGAATAACAGTTCAGTAATTTTTTGAGTGAAATTTAGTTCCCTTTTGCTGGAAAACAGACTTACCTTTTGTTTGAATTCCACTTCAGGTAGCACTAAAATTTGTGTACTTGGCAATTGGATCCGGCATCGCTTCTCTTTTACGTAAGGATTGATTTACCTTGGCTTGATTCTGTTCTGTTAATAGATAACAATACTTTCCAATTTTGATTACTATTTTTCTTAAGAAATGTATCAATCATACTTACACTTTAGGCCTGCTCGATAAGTGATCCAAGATAAAAATATGGTCCAATCATCTAAGAAATATTGCTCAGTGGAATGGAATGTATTTTTTTTTTTTAAGGTTTCTGCACATTTGAAAGATTACTGCAAGACGAATCCTCCAGCTTTGAACTACTTGATTGGCTTCCACTTGTTGGCCTGCTTTAGTGTGCATATTCATGCACTGCAAATGATGTGAATTTTCAGTAAGTTCAGATGCAGCATAGTAATTAAATTTTAGCTATTTTGTTGCTGTCTTGCAGAGGTATCCTGTTGGATGGTTACTGGAGAAAGACAGTCTACCCGCATCCGAGCTCTGTACTTGAAAACAATATTGAGACAGGATATTGGCTTCTTTGACACTGAAACAAACACTGGTGAAGTCATTGAAAGAATGTCTGGTGACACTATTCTCATTCAAGATGCCATGGGTGAAAAGGTTGCGTCTTTTTCCTTTATAGCATAGCACAAAGAACTATGACAGTTATCTAAAGTCCGTATGCCATACTTTCATGGATCTTTTTTTATTGTTTTCATCTCTCATTCATCTACTCTCCTATCTAACATGAATATATATATATATATATATTGGAATATGCTGCTGTGGTATGTTAATAAATGCATCGTGTCAGGTTGGGAAGTTTATACAGCTACTAGCAACATTTTTCGGTGGCTTTGCGATTGGCTTTGTTAAAGGATGGCTTCTTGCATTAGTTCTGCTTTCCAGTATTCCTCCTCTTGTGGTTGCCGGTGGAGTCATGGCTTTGATCATGTCAAAAATGTCAAGCCGCGGACAGGTTGCTTATGCAGAAGCTGGAAATGTTGTAGACCAAACAGTTGGAGCCATAAGAACAGTAAGACATACATATCAATAATTTACTATATCGTACAATTCCATGCTATGCTTCCTAAATTATCCATTTCGTGCTTTTACAAGGTTGCATCCTTCACGGGGAGAAGCATGCAATTGAGAATTATAACAGTAAGCTGAAAGTTGCCTATAACTCTGCCGTCCAACAAGGGTTGGCCTCAGGCTTGGGACTTGGTACAATGTTGTTTATTGTCTTTGCCACTTATGCACTTGCCATATGGTATGGATCCAAATTGATCGTAGAGAAAGGTTATAACGGTGGGCAAGTTATGACTGTTATTATATCAATTATGACTGGTGGAATGTAAGTACTTAATTCAACGTTGATATTATCCCTGATATGTTATCTAGTAATATATCCACTTAGAATCCACTCCCGTACGTGTTTGTGGTCTCTTTGTGTAGGTCATTGGGTCAGACTTCTCCATGTTTGAATGCATTTGCAGCAGGGCAAGCTGCGGCATATAAGATGTTTGAGACCATTAAACGGAAGCCAAAAATCGATCCCTATGACACTACCGGGATGGTGTTGGAAGATGTGAATGGAGAAATTGAACTCAAAGATGTGTATTTCAGATACCCAGCCAGGCCTGAGGTTCAAATCTTTTCTGGATTTTCACTGCAAGTTCCAAGTGGCACAACTACAGCTTTGGTTGGGCAAAGTGGAAGCGGGAAGTCAACTGTTATTAGCCTTGTTGAGAGATTTTATGATCCTGATTCTGGCCAAGTGCTTATCGATGGTGTTGACTTAAAAAAGCTGAAGCTTAGTTGGATAAGGGAGAAGATTGGACTAGTTAGTCAGGAACCTATCTTATTTGCAACCAGCATAAAGGAAAACATAGCATATGGGAAGGAAAATGCAACTGATCAGGACATCAGAACAGCAATCCAACTAGCCAATGCTGCAAAATTCATTGACAAAATGCCTGAGGTAAGCCCCTTTCTTTTTAAGGAATGCATGGTCTTTAGCAATTGCTTACTGCAAGAGCAATATCTACCCATCACAAGCAAACAAGGCCCTTTACTATGTTCATGCTTCAAACGAGTAAGTAGGGTGGCTTCATTTGTTGTTCACAGGGACTTGACACCATGGTTGGTGAGCATGGTACTCAGTTATCGGGTGGACAAAAGCAAAGAATTGCAATTGCAAGGGCCATATTGAAGAATCCAAAGATTCTTCTTCTTGATGAAGCTACAAGTGCACTTGATGCAGAGTCTGAGCGCATCGTACAAGATGCATTAGTGAATATTATGTGCAACCGAACAACTTTGGTTGTTGCACATCGTTTGACAACTATCAGGAATGCAGACATGATTGCTGTGGTTCATTTGGGAAAAATTGTAGAGAAAGGTAATTGCTAGACTTGCTGCTTCATCTATAAATTTCTATACTGTTCCCAGCCTAATATTCAAACAACATTATAGGCAGTCATGACGAGCTGATAAAAGATCCAGAGGGGGCTTACTCCCAGTTAATTCGCCTTCAAGAAGGAGCTAAGGAATCTGAAGTGTCCCAGGACATTGATGCAGACATGTCGGAATCTGCTTCGGACAGAGACAAGTCCATTTCCAGTTCTAGAAGCCAGAAACACTCTATTCAGAGATCCATAAGTCGAGGTTCATCAGGAAGCCGACGCTCCTTCTCACTCAACACCATTGGCTTTGGCATGCCTGGTCCCACCAATGTCCATGATGATGATACCAATCAGAACATTGGAACAAAGGAAAAGCCTAAACAAGTTTCTATGAAACGACTTGCCTACCTCAACAGGCCAGAGCTTCCTGTTTTATTTCTCGGTACCATTGCTGCAGCTATACATGGCGTGATTTTCCCAGTGTTTGGCCTTTTACTGTCGAAAGCCATTAACATGTTCTATGAACCTCCAAACGAGATCCGAAAACATTCCAAGTTCTGGGCAGCGTTGTATTTGGGATTGGGCTTGATTACCTATGCAGCCCTTCCACTGCAATATTACCTCTTTGGAATTGCTGGTGGTAAGTTGATTGAACGAATTCGTTCCAGAACATTTGAAAGAGTTGTGCACCAAGACATTAGTTGGTTTGATGATCCTACAAATTCAAGGTGCGTTAAGGAAATTCACATACTCCAAATTCATGCTACAGGTTTAGAAATTTCTAAAGAAATTAAGAAACGATCTTATTACTCTTTTAACTTTGAATGTTTTTGCATTTTTTCAGTGGTGCAATTGGTGCAAGGTTGTCAACGGATGCTTCCACAATTAGGAGGCTTGTTGGTGATTCCTTGTCCTTAATTGTCCAAAATATATCAACAGTTTTGTCAGCTTTGATTATAGCATTTGCAGCCAACTGGATGTTGTCCTTGATAATTGTTGCTATATCTCCCTTGCTATTTGTCCAAGGGTACATACAAGCAAAGTTTATGAAGGGGTTCAGTGCAGATGCAAAGGTTGGTGTTATTCAATGGCTTTTACGTTCTCTCAAGGACTACGTGTTGGGTATACTACTCTAGTGACTATGTAAAACTTTTTGCAGATGATGTATGAACAAGCTAGTCAAGTGGCCAATGATGCGGTTGGCAGCATTAGAACTGTTGCTTCTTTTTGTGCCGAGAAGAAGGTGATGGAGTTGTACCAAAAGAAATGTGAAGGTCCCACGAAGCAAGGTGTTCGTCTTGGTTTTGTTAGTGGCACTGGTTTTGGCTTATCATTCTTCATACTCTATTGCACAAATGCATTTTGTTTCTATATTGGAGCTATCCTCGTTGAACATGGGAAAACAACATTTGGAGATGTTTTCAGGGTACAAAACGACATTTTTTTTATTTGTTCTGTTTTTTCAGGGGATTCAAATTTTATTTTATCAGGTTCTGAGCTCATTTTCTGCAGGTTTTCTTTGCATTGACTATTGGAGCACTTGGGGTTTCCCAATCTAGTGGCATGGCTCCAGACACTTCCAAAGCCAAAGATTCAACAGCTTCAATATTTGCAATTCTTGATAGAAAGCCCAAAATCGACTCAAGTAGTGATGAAGGGATCACGCTTGGACAAGTTCATGGTGATATTGAGATTGAACATGTTAGCTTTAAGTATCCAATGAGACCACATGTTCAAATCTTCAGAGACTTATCTCTTAGCATTCCCTCTGGAAAGGTATTCGTCAATACTTCAATCTTGAAACTTCTTTCTAGAGTTCCTACAAATACAAGCATATGCTTCATTATAAACCGAATCGATCCATTTCATTTTTAAGAGAAAACGAGCCATGACTAGTTAATTATTCTCTAAGCACTTGTAATTACTCCATTACTCACCTTGAAATTCTATCTGCAGACTGTTGCTTTAGTTGGGGAGAGTGGTAGTGGGAAGTCAACAGTTATCAGCCTCATAGAGAGGTTCTATGATCCTGATCTTGGTCATGTATATTTGGATAAAGTAGAAATCAAGAAGTTCAAACTCAACTGGTTGAGACAACAAATGGGTTTGGTCAGCCAAGAACCAATACTCTTTAATGAAACTATCCGTGCAAATATAGCTTATGGCAAGCATGGAGAGGTTACTGAGGAAGAGATAATTGCAGCTACAAAAGCATCAAATGCACACAACTTCATTAGTTCATTACCGCAAGGCTATGAAACCAGCGTAGGTGAACGAGGAATTCAACTGTCTGGTGGGCAGAAACAGAGAATAGCCATTGCTAGGGCGATCCTAAAGAATCCAAAAATTCTTTTACTCGATGAGGCAACAAGTGCGCTGGATGCAGAGTCAGAGCGCATAGTACAAGAAGCATTAGACAGAGTTATGGTGAACAGAACAACCGTTGTTGTTGCTCACCGCCTTGCCACCATTAAAGGTGCCGATGTCGTTGCTGTAGTGAAGAATGGTATGATTGCTGAGAAGGGAAAGCATGATGTGCTCATGAAGATCACTGATGGGGCTTATGCATCCTTGGTCGCACTCCATACGAGTGCAGCTTGAGGAGAGATGGAAAACTTGCTGCTTTCTACTTGAATAAGATAAGGATATATAGGATAGTATTAGTTTTCAGATACGAGAAGTCCATGATGAATTAAACTCGCTATCTTCTTGATCATGGAAATGACTCGAAGGTGGGTTATATTTCTGGTCAATATTGATAGTTGTAGCCTCATAAGGTATGATGGAAATCTTTCAATTCTATTGTTTGCAAGCTTTCTGCACCTCCACAATAAAGATTTTAATCATAAAAGTTTTGACGGTTGTAACATTTCACTAGGTATTTGATCTAAGTTGAATTAATACCTAAGGAAAGAGCTAAGAGTAACTTATGGCTAGAATCTGTAATTATTCCAGGAAAAAAGAAAGAAAGAAAGAAAACAGACTCATAGCTTAGTTCAACTATACAACCAATATACAAACAAAATTGATTGATTAACTGTAGAAGTTGAAATTTGTGGCAACATAAAATAATTACCCTGTCATTTGAGCCAAACCAACATGTTGAATCAAATTAATTTTTGTTCCCACTGAGTTTCACAGACAAAATAAAACTAATTGACAGAATAAGTTAATCAAAATTTTGCAAGAGGGGAAGGGAAAGAGGAAAATCAATGTAGTGCGTTGTCCTAGAGGGTTGTAGCCTTTCATTTGGAAGCATTGGTGAGCACTAACATGTTTCTTCTAAGTCAAGAATAGCTTCTTCAAATACGTTTACCATCCACAATTCAATCAAAGAACATACTGCAGGAATTTTATGGATTACAGTGTTGTGTAATTATTGAAATGGGCAGGTTCCAGGAGGAAAGGTGCTTTAAGTCACACTGCAACAAGACCGGTAATTATTCAGTCAGATGCATCATTGTGATTAATGGTATATATTGCGAAGGCGAGGAACCAGGTGGTGGGAGATTGATGCTTTTGTGGAGGATGTTAAGAATATGCTTGAGCGTTTGCGTAATGTCAGAGTTTCGATAATTAGCAGAAATGCTCTTGTGTAGAAGATCAATTAGCCAGAACTATTAGAGTATGATTATTTCTAGTGATTGGTTTTCTAATCCTCCAAGTGCTTTCTATCAGCTAATTAATGAAAGATAATTGTAGTTATAAATGATGAGTGCGTGAAATTCGGTTGATGATGTATGATGAGTTAGCTTTTTCTTGACCGGTGATGTAATGAAGATAAATGATGGATGATGATGAAATTAACTGGTATACTTGCAGAACAAGTCCCTCTTTGTGAATTAGAGCATCCTCAGATGACTAAGTCAACGTATAGAAGAAGACGACGACCTGAAAAGATAATAGTATAATGATGCAAGTACATGTAGAAGATAATGAATAGGAGTTGCTAGTTGAGAGATTCAGAACTTAGAACCATAGGTTTTTTAGTTGTTTATATGGTCAAGAGTTTTGTTAAGTTGCACATATTGAGGGATAGGATGACCTATTCCTTTATTGCCAATAGCTTTTGGATAAATATATTTGATGTTGACATGCTACAATTGAAAAAATATGATGGCATTGCATTTGGCATTAGCTAGACAGAACCTAAGAGATCGTACACCCTCATTTAATAGATCCGCAAACTGTCCTTTCCAATTAATGGAACTAGTCTTGGTTTTTCGAATGAACACTATCTAGTAAGCTAAAAGATGGCTACGTAAGGACTGATTTTGCGTCTACATCTTGGGTAGAGTCTTGTCTTGTTAAGCCTTCATCCTGATGGTGGTTCCCTAACTTACCAGAGGTTATATGATGAAAACTGTCACCTGCATATAACATTTTCCCTTTTGAGTCATGACAAATGTGACTGTGAAGACTAACTTGGCACCCATGCATGTTTTAACTGTATACTTGACACGTTTGGAGTGGTAAAAAGATTGTTTCATTCATCTTAAGATCATTTATTACCTGCCATTTTGGTACTCATATTTTTATAAAGGAGACAAATCGTTTCTGCATGGGCAGGAAAAATGAAATGATTGAATCTCTTGTAATTCTCAAATTTTGTCAGAATTTATCCATATCATTTGTTGTGTGACACATATGTCCGGTTGTGAGTGACCACATCATATCAAGGCATGTTAGATAGGCATGAACTTTTGAATGATATGGATTGGAGCTCATATGTTTGAACCTATGAATAGTATGAGAAACTCCTTTTCCTTTTTTTTTTTTTGTGTTTCTTTTTTATTTCTAATAAAAGGAATTTCTTGTAAACTATAGGAGTGTTTTGGCAATTTTTTACTCATAAATCATCTCGTAGAAATACTTTTGATCTTTTTGGAATGATAATCACCACTATTTTGGCGGTTGTGTTAAGGAGAGTTATTGTATTTTTGTAGTGGTTCCACTTTTTCAAACAATCAACAAAGGTTTTTGATAGATAAACCTTAACTCTCTAGTTGGTTTCTTTATTTGATGAAAATGCCATATTTAAAAGAGTTAGGGATGGATTTGGAGCTACTTCGAGTAGAGTTTATAAGAGAAAGGAGACAAAACTATGTGTAGAAATGACAATTCTTCCTAAGGCTGAACGGGGCCTTGATAAACACCTTAGTGAGGTGTATATAGAGAGATTGACTTCTTTCAATGGGCGCTTAAGATGAATTCACCTTAGTCTTATTCCTAATTAGGATGGCAAGATTAGTATTCACTTAATCGAAGCTAAGAGGTAGAAGTTAGAAATAAATGTTCATGCTTGCATGTTCTCTTACAACTATAGTTTCCCTTTATCTAGATTTGCAGTGATTTTTCAGCACTTTAACTTATATGTTAGTTAGCTTCACCCAAATAGATAGACCATTATGAATGCATTTGAGAACTTTTATAAGTAGATTATGTTAATATAGGTGCCCTAGATCCAATCTGTTTGGATAGTTTGATATATTGTATTGTTGCATTTTCAATATTAATAAACAAGTCTTTCTATTAATTCTTGTTATTTATAATTTGATAGAATTATATAAAAGTCCTTATGATATATATTTCCTTGATAATTGATCAATCGATATAAGACAAACATCAATACACATAAATGATATCATTAAATGTCTCAAGTCATAGCATTGTCAAGATTAGACAATGGCAATATACAATAAGACTTGTGAGTGATATGCTCTTGCTATAAGATGACGAGTAAGATGTCTCATATCTACTAGCATGGTGATGTCAAAGCAAGCATTCAAGTGAATAAGATTAAAGAACATATCACTAATGTGACTCATCATGAGAATCCATTTAGTATTGTTTATGGGAATCTCATACGAGATAGGTATAAGTAGTCCTTTGACTTGAAGTTGTCATGATTATCTCATTAGATGATTGGTATACTTTGACATTCGTTTCAATTGACTCGGTAAATAGCTATATGTGAGCGATTTATTGAGTGCATTAAGAATTTAATGGAGATAAGTGAATAATTGAGAGAGGATATGTCATTCCTTATATGTTAAAGGAGTTATCACATTGTATTTCGATGAATGTCCGCTCGAGAATCGTGGCCACAACAAAAGTATACTAATAGAGCATAGTTAGTTTACTTGAGAGCTAAGATATTATGAGATCGAAGAAAACTTATGTGATCATAATTAAACGAGATAATCATTCAAGTTCGAGATCACACTATGATAGATGGACATGAGGATTAAATTGTATGGAAACTATACTCGTAAAAGGTTATTACGAATTAAGTAATCCTTCTAGATAATTAAATAGTTATAATGCCTTACTAGAGGCTAATTTTGATTTATGTAACGAGAGATAAAAGAAGTGTCTTTTACTTCTCGACACATTGCTAACATATCTAGGAGCTTATTGAGTCACATGCATAACTTTAAACATTCATACGAAAAAGAGAAGCAAAGAATTTAGAAAAAGTTTCTATTTTGAAAATGAGTTTCCTATAATAAAATTCAGTTTCCTAATTTAGAAAACGAGTTTCCTAATTTAAAAACTAGTTTTCTATTTTAGAAATCAGCTTTTCTAATTTAGGTTTAATCAATTACAAGGGTAACTTAGGAAATTATTTCCGATGTGAGCCTCCCTAAAAATACTTAACCCGAACTTATTTGGATGATTCAAAGTAATTTTTGAGTTATTAGATCAAAGGAGTTTGGGACAATAGGCTAAAGTGAAAGCACTGGAAGGATATTTTAAGTACATGGGTAATTAGGGTTTATAAGGCAAAAATCAAACAAACTCACATGAGTTACAACTCCTTGATTAAAAAGGAAAAGTTACATGACTCTAAGACTAGTGAATGGTAATAGATCTCCGTTACTAGTCTCCTTGAATCATAAGAAGACTAGTGGGTTAAGTACCTAGGTGAAAAATTATTACAAATTCTTCAAACTTGTCTTATCTTCTTGGCTCTTCTCTTTGCATCTATTCTAATAACCTATCTTCTCGCTTTTATATTTTTTTGAATAAGAAACCTCAAGTTACATTTGAAGGGAGTAAGATGAGAAGAGAAATACATCATAATGATAAAGAAAGTAGGATACACAAACCCTATTTATCTAAAAATTTAGAAACATACATTCTCAAAAACTAGGTCGACTCATCCACACCATTCACTTATGCTTCAATCACATTAATACATGCCATACAAATGAAACACATTTAATTTTTATCGTAATTATAAAACTATGTTTTTGATGATTTTATAAATAATATTAATTTTTTTTAAATTTTAATTTTTAGACTTTTCGAGCATTGGGCCCATGGCTTTTAAGCCTAGGAGGCCCATAGGTTGCTATGCCCTAGCTAGCCAATGCCTAGCCGCTATTGGCTTGGTGTGCTTGCATGCGGCTAGCTATTAGCTAGTTCCTAGCACCGGCCTTAGCAGGCTAGTTGGCCGGTGCCCGTAACAAATAGCTAGGGATGTATTGGTAATTTCTATTCTTATTGATTCCTCATAATCGACATTTAACCTCGGAGAAAGAGTTCTTGACTATTTTATGGGTTATTTACCTTCTAGTTTCTATCATATATACTCAAGATTGGATTAAAAATTCATTGACATAAATTATTATTTAAGAAAATTTACAAAATATTAAGAAAATACAAGATGGTAATTTCGTAACTCTATCTTTTTAATTGTTATTTCTTTCTTCTATAATAATGTTAAAGGGTTAATTTTTTTATCTTATATTTTTTAGGTTTACTAATTGCCACTACCACTATTATAAATGTTTGATGAGTTAATGACTAGATAGTGTTTTGGCTTTCCGGATGACATGCGTAAGTTACTAAGTTTCTAATTTTGATTCTATTTTTTGTTGGTATATGTTGATGGTTATGTGATGCAAAAGTATATGTATATGTTTTGCGACTACTGTGAGAGTAATCAAGACAACTAGACGACCATGGTTGCAACTATCGTGACTTGTGAGAGTGATCAAAAGGATGAAGAAGAATTAGTATTGTTATTATAATTGTTCTTCATCTTTTTGGGGTGAGATACCGAGATATGGAGAAAATTTTAAATTAGTTTCATAATTGATATTTTTTGGTTGCGGTTGTTGTTATTGCGGCCATATTTTGACTTGGAAATATGTTTGACATATTTGTTTGTGTGTGTGTAATTGTTTTACATATTGAGCATTGAAACATCTGTCATTGTCTAATTGAAATATGTTTAACATATTTAGTAAGATACTACACCATCTTTTTCGGGTGAGAATCCTAGCCCATTTTCTAGTTTCTGCTGTACGGATTGCTTTTACAATAGTTATTTTTCTCTACCTTCTTTTAGCATATTCGAGACAAGCTATTTTTTTTCCATCCATCTCTTAGTATCTTGCTTCATTTCTTACAACTTCTTTTAGCAAGGTGCATTTAATGCATTTTATTGTTATGTGATTCAAAAATAGAGCAAGAGAAGTAATGGGAGCTCATAGTAACAAAATAAGCTTTTTTGTGTATGTTGTGAATTTTGAGGCTTGTACTTAATGTTTTGTAAGAAATGAAATTTCTAAAAAGTTCTCCTTCAAGGAGTGATCTTGGGAAATGAAATTTTGCATATGAATGATTTTTATTTATTGCAATAAAATATTTCGATTAAAACTAAAATTTTTCAAAACTCGAATCAAAATAAGTCAATTTTAAATCGAATTTATCAAACTTATTTCAGTTTGGTTTCGATTTTTTTTTAAATTTGATTAATCGAAAAACGAACTGAATTATACAAAACCGAATCGTTTAATCATTTACTTACCCTTAAGTACAACTTAATTAGAGATGGGTAGGACAAATCAACTAGTGAGGCCACGTGGATGACACATGAACTGAAGGAAGGGAATTATGTGCCACATGTATTAGCTATTAAAAGAAGCTGAGGTGGATTTTGTCTGTAGTTTGTTGGAATTGGTGTTAGTCTCTAACGGCTATAACATTAATTGTGAGATGAGCATTTTGTATATTTTGAACATTCTTTTTCTTCTCTGGATTTTCTCATTACTCATCTGTTTTCTTCTTGTAATTTCTAGGGTTCTTAACTTGGGAACTCTTATCAAGATTTGTTTTCTGTAATCGTTTTCCATTGATTCAAACGCACTCCTTGTCATTCAAGTTGCTATTTTTGTGTTCACTTCATAAACTCGATTTCATAACTTGCGTTCACTGGTTTTCTATTTGGAACTTTTGTGTTTCATCTAATTGTTTTTGGTTGGAATTGAACTGCAGCATCACAGTAGCAACCATTTGTCCAAAAGAGAAGCCAAGTTCAAGTTAGGAAGTTGAATGAAAAGTTTAAACCTTTTTTCAAGCTAAACCCGTGCTTAGAGAATATCCAAGCATAGACTGACTGGTCCATACAATTTTTATTAATTTTTTTAAGAATTTCCAAGAGCTTGGGGTTGCTTTCTTTAGTAAGATCCCCAGCTTGCAAGTCCGTCACATTTTGATCTTCTTCAAAATCAAGGTAGCTAAACTCTATATTAGGGTAAATATCAATCATATGTTTCCATCTTTTGGACTAACCACTCAATCAAAAAGCATCTTTGTTTGGGATGAAGAATAGCATCAGGAAAACCCGATATATGATCCCTAGTACAAACCCTTTGGGTCAATATATGAGTGATAATTAAAAAATGGGTTGTTGCTCCTACCTGGAAATTTTTTTTTAAGAGAACAGCTCAGAATGTATACAAGTGTGTGTTACATGGACCGAATTGATAGAATTCCTGCAAAGATGGCAAGAAATACAAGTCCTTAACTTGTTAGGAAAAGATATTATATTTTTTGCTAAAGATAGACTGTTAAACAAGCACTGATCTGACCAGCACCAGCTTAACAAATTAAGCAAATTACATATGGAAGTAGAGAATTGAGATTTTTGGGTAGGGAGGAAGCACCTTCTTTTATTTCTTCAAGGTTTTGCAGAATAAATTATAAATTAATCTATTTCTTTTGAAGAAATGAATTAATTAATTTTCTGTATTTTAAAAATTAATTATTTAATTTTTTATCAACATTTTAGTAAAATCTGTCAAATTAATACATAATATCTAAATAATCTTTAAAATATATACTGCCACGAAATTACCTTGTTAAGGTAGCTTGAAGTCCTGAACACATGGAAGATGATTTTTTACATGTACGATTGCAATTAGATTATTCGGTCCGGCATTGGGCTTGCAGTGACTGCGCAAGTGGCAGAGTCCAAGACATATTGTGTCCAAATGCTTGCCAGCATTGTTACAGCTTGCATTTTGTAAGTTATTTTTTTACATTTATTCGTTCTTTAGTGTGGTTTATATTTTTTTAGAATTAAAGGTCATGAAAATGGTATAAGGAATCAATTTTCGTTTTATTATGAGGATAGAAATGATTGAAGAGAGAGAAAATAATGGGGGTTCAAGGAGTTAAGGATCACAAAAATAATCTGAAATATGAATTTTTGCTTTATTGTAATAATGGGGATGGTTGAGGAGAGCTAAAAAATAGTAGGTAAAAGAGAAAAATAAGATATTAAATGAAGAATAATTTGGAAAAAAAATACTACAGTAAGGACATTTAATTATCATTCTAACAACAAAATTAATGGAAAAAAATTAAGTTATTGACAGAATTATAACAAGAGAGACGAAATTATTAGTTTTTAAAAATAAAGAAGACTAATTAATTCTTTTGTCGAAATGAGAAGGACTAATTTATAATTTATTCAAGTTTTGCGGTATCCATAAAGTTTAGTTTTCTTTTTAACTAAGACTTGGTCCCTTTAGTTTAACAAAACGAACTAGTTAGTTCACATAGTCTTAAGAACTTCATATTTAATCCCTATAGTTGTAAGAACTTCATATTTAATCTCCATAGTTTTGAGTCTATTTAGTCATTTCCATCTATTTCATCTTTTCCGTTTGGTGCCTTTTTTTTTTTAAAACCATTTTTTGCCTTTTTTTTTTCCAATAAAATAACCAATCGAGTAAATTCCATATTAAGGTTGTTTTCTTAGAATAGGTAAAATAGGAGTTTTTTTTTTTTTTTTTTTTTTTTTAAATATGGTTGTTTTAAATCCATATTACTAGAATAGGGTTGTTTTAAACTTATATCCCAATCTAAGATACTATATGCCATGTAAGCTCCATCTCAACAATTTATATATATATATATATATATATATATATATTTTCTCTTACTATACTAATAAAACTCTAATTAAAATAAAATATTATTTCACAAATAATTAAATCAATTTTAAACTCAGAAATTGAAATCTACCATTTCGATTGGGGAAGTGAGTGTTTGCGGTGAGTTTGGCATGGGAACTGTTTAACCTCTTTCTGCACCTTTTCTTCTTTCTTGCCTTGTTCTTTCATGCAAAAAAATCTGAATGGATTGATCTAATATTGTTCTTGCAGGACATGGATTTTGGCATTGGTGAATTTGGTTTAAATCCAATAAAAACAGGGTCGTCACATGGAGATAGCATGTTCGCAGGGAAGAGCCCATTTATGTTTGATTCTGTTCCGAGCACCCCTGCACATAACCAAGGGAAGAGCTCCTATGCTTTTGCAGATTCTGTTCTAAGCACTTGAAACAAAAGCGAAATGGTCACTCAGATTCATAAATTGGAAGGCTAAAGTGCTCAACTGGATAAGCAGCCAAGCAGGTATGGTGTTTAGAGAAAGGAGCATCCAGCGTTGACGCCAACAAAAGTGAAATTGGGATTTCAGATGACGCCATTCTCAATTCCTTGTTTTATCTCCTCTGTTTTTCAAAATGTGCAGAGATCTAGATGCACATCATGGGCCTCATGTTTGGATCAGGATTTAATTAGGATTCGTGTGGGTTTTTTTTTTTTTTTAAGCAATTAAGAAAAAATGAAATGACGTAGATAAAAAAATCTGATGTGGCAAAAAACGTATTTTTATTTAAGAATTAAGTTTAAAAATATATTTATTTGAGGAAAAAAACTCGATAAAATAGCCTCACTTGCTTTTTTTTTTTCCTTTTTTGTGTGTTATTAGGAGTTAACAAAAATAATCTAAACTTTAAGTGCTTGATTTTTTTTCTCCTTATAATAGAAAAGATAAAACTTTTTTTTATTGCAATACTCCACTGCATCAAAATTTGAATCTTAAATATCAAAAAACCATCTCAATTCAAAAGTTTAAGCCATTGGATGAAGTTCTAAAAATGATTTTATATTACTTTCTAACACAACATATATAGGTTTTTCACTACCTTGTGTTTAATTGTTTAATTAAAAAAAAAATGAAAGCAGTGAAATTCGAATTCGTGAACGTTTGGTCATTAAAACTCTAATACCATATTAAAAAATCACTTCAACCCAATAGTTTAATCTTTAAGGTTGAGATGGTTTTTTTTTTTTAAAAAAAAGGTTAAGATGGTTCTTTTAACACTAGAAAATTTAGAGCTTTTTTAAAGATTAGAAAATTTAGAGCTTTCTTAAAGATTAGTAAATTTTTAATACTTGAAGCTCACGTCATTTTAGATTCTGAGTTTCAAAAACCGGAGAAGTCGGTTTTCTTCCTTTGTACCGTTGCTGCCGCTAAACTTGGCGTAGTTTCCCCAGTTTTGGGGCTCATCTGATGGAAAGGAGGCATTAGGATGTTATATGAACCTCCAGGGAAAATGTCAAAAAAATCGAACTTCTGTGTAGTGGTATATGTGGGATTAGGTTTGATTACTTGGCAGCCATCCACTGCAACATTACAGCTTTGAAACAACTGGGGTAAGTTAACTGGATGATCGAATTCGTTTGAGGACAACGACAGGAACATTTGAAATTACTGCAGTTGAATTATTATTACGTTTGTCATACAAAAAATTCAATGAAATAAATCTCAGCTTTAGCTCAGCCTGCAACTGCAAGGTGTGGCACCAGCACTTTGATGATTACATGGAGGAGTTCAAGACAGTTTTCCTAATATTACAGTTTTGATGATTTGCTTGCAAAACTGTTAATCCTGACTGGTTAGCTAGAGCCATATGAGATCCTGATTGTTCTAGCGATTGGTTTCTGATCCTTAAAGGGTATTTTATCTACTGATTAGAGCAAGATAATTGCCGCTATAAAAGTAGCAAACGCTCACAACTTTATTGAATCATTTGGGAAGTTCATCTAATTCAAATAACTTGTGGGCTGTGGCTAGACTGCGCAATTAATATAGAATATGAAAAAAAAAAAAAAAAAACCCGGATTATGTTTACCATGGACCTGATATAAAAGGTTGAGTTAGCTCAGTCTGATGTAACCACACATCCAGAGTCTACTGAGTTTTTACCCTGTATAGGTAATAGGTTGAGTCAGATTGAAGAGCACTTTTGTGTTACTTCTATAACAAGATTAGCTTTACTTCTTCAAATAAGTTCAATTTCAACGATTCAATGAAAGAATATACAATCGAAAGTACTTTGCCCTGATAGCACACAAGAAATGAAAAATTCAAAAAGAAAGAAAAGGCACACCAACTTCATTCGTTTTCTTCTTTCCCCCTTGACATTTCCTTTCTGACGCTAAGCAGCAATTTTAGAATTTGGAGGGACAAATTGAACGAACCACTGAGCACAGAAAGTCTTAGTAAGCTTCAGCTGCCAAACTGGTGGGAATCCTCTGGCGCTTCTCTGCATATGCTGATGGGAACCACCCAGCTTTTCCTTTGCATTCTCCTTCTGACCACCCAGTTGGACTCACCTGGAAATTCATATCTTAAGAAAATTGTACCAGCAAATAAAAAGTGCAGAAAATGTGATTCACAATTTATCTTATCCAGCTTCAAATAGAACCAAAATGTAAGGGCCAGCACCGCAAATGGAGATGTGTTCCTTGATATAAATGATTGTACAGTACGCGAAATAGAATAATGGACATGCGTCTCTTGATGTCGGACAAATCTCAAAATCATGTTTTGAAAAGTTTCTTGAGAAATTTTTGCAGACAACGAGATCTATTTTACCTGTTTGGAGATGTTGTGCCAAAGGTAAAGAAAAAAGAAACCAATTGAAAAGGGGTCAAAAAAGGAAAGCAAAACACCCAAGCCTTGGAAGTTGCATAATATATGGATCCGACACTCATTCCATGAAACATTTTCGTAAAGAATCTGAATGGATCTCTGATTTCCTGTTACTCTTAAGAAGAACTCAATTGATTCTGGATGCTGCTAGACAAAAAAGGTTAGTAATTGGCTGAGTGTCTCCCTTCAGTGAGAGAAGGATATCAGTATTTCAGAGATTAGATGCAAGTTAAGAAACTACAGGAAAGCTAAGGCTCGTGTCCCTGAAAATTGAATAGAGCAACATAACAGTTCTTTTCCTTTGCTCCAAACACAAGACCAGTTGGCAACTTCTAAATGCACATCGATGATCTATCTGTTAACCTGAAAATTGAATAGAGCAACATAACAGTTCTTTTTCTATGCTCGAAACACAAGACTGGTTGGCAACTTCTAAATGCATATCGATAATCTATCTGTTAACCTGAAAATTGAATAGAGCAACATAAAAGTTCTTTTTCTATGCTCCAAACAACAAGAGCAGTTGGGAATTTCTAAATGCACATCGATGATCTATCTATTAAGAGGATGCTTCTAAATGCAATTGCAAAATTAACAAGGAAAAGCCAGATAACCTTTCTCACAACAATATAGTCACCCACAGCCAAGCTCAGCTCTTTCTCTGTTTCTGCAATGAAAGGATGTGTTGCCTGCAAGATGTAACCAAAATTTTACAACTTATGCTCCAGCTAAAACACAGTACCTTTGATGAAAGATGCATGCAACAGTAACTAAATTAATTGTAACACATACTTTGCATAAAGATTCAAGTTATTGATGCAAATTTTCAGCTGGAACCATCCATGCACTTTAATGTTTCCAACAATTAATCTCCCTTCTATTTTCATTACCTAAAAAGCTGATAATCTCGCTACTCTGATAAGACAAACTCTATGCAGGATAAAGAGATTGAGGACTTGTTCCCACAGCTCTATTTTCATTACCTATAAAGCTGATAATCTCGCTCCTCCGAAAGACAAACTCTATGCAGGATCAAAAGATTAAGGACTTGTTCCCACAGTTGAATCTTTTTTATTGAGCTTCTATACTTAAAAAGCAGGGTCAGCCATGTATCGTTTGCCAACAGGATTTAACAGCAAAAAGTTAGGTCTACCAAATGCCATGAATCCCTTAAAATGAAGTCTTAACGTTTACACAGGCATTTGGAGAGGTATCAAAGAGGATTTGAAGAATCTCACTTGTTACCCCCATCCACCGGAAAATAATAATAGGAATGACCTGACTAGAAGCACTGGGCCCTGATGAACAACAGCCATTCATCCGCATGACAGAAAAAAAGTCAAAAGAACCAGTAGATCTCTAAAGAAATCCAAGAATGGTCCAAGTTTGCACAATTTTCTCCCTAATAACCACTTTATGTATAAATGTGGAGATCAATATGCCGTCATTTGCTATTAGATTCAATCACACCATCTTGTCTCCAGGTAAATTCAGCACGGTGATCTTTACAATGGTGGGATGTTTACAAGAACTCTAACAACTACAAGACCCTTCAGTGCTACTTGATTGGGCATCAGCCCCATCTTGAAGCTTATGTAAAGCATTGCATGCTAATATCAGAATAATGTAAAATAACTTCTTCTTTTTTTTTTTTTTCTGAAAAGACATACAAACGCACCCTCTAAAGTTCTAGCATCTAATATAGAGTACTTACTTCAGCCAAAAAGTATGTGGTTTTCTCTGAGCCATTCTCTAATGGAATAGCAGGAGGCAGGATCACTGGAGGAGCCGACTCTTTTTGCTGTTTCTCTGAGACCATCTGACACAAGTTTCAGGTGTAAGTTGCATTGCTCATATCAACAAAAGTTTCTTCATGAAAAAATGAATATTGAACTGACCTCAGCTTCAACCTCACTAAGAATAGCAGCAATTCTCAGATGATAATTCTTTTGTCCTTCAACCTTCAATAATGTAAGCTAATCATAAATATGAATCTCCAAAATATTTTAAGCTTCAAACTAGAAAATTCTATCTTGAAAAATAAGAACATACCATGGCGACAAGCCGTTGAAAAGTCAATCTGTGCTGTTGTGCTTCAACAGCAGCCAATGCAGCTGCAGCTTCTTTACCAAGAACTGCCATGTTTGCCTTTAGTTCTTGCATCCTTGCTTCTGCTGCATGCAGCTTTGCAATATTTTCAGGTATTGGAGATTCCCGTACTCGTGCTTGTCTTCTAGAAACCTCTGCCGCCTGTTTGCTTTTAATGGTCAATACGAAATTACCAATGATGAGCTTATAGCAAATACCAAGAGTATGGAACATAAAGTGACAGTCCAAGCATGATGATCATAAAATATTACTTAACCCTAATGCAGCGGATGCACTGGTTACTAATTACCTGTGCTTCTGCTTCCTGTCTCATCCGACTATATCGTTGAGCAAGATGGCGGGCATCTTCCAAAGGAGTACCATTAATCATTGCTCTCAAGGGTTCTAAAATCTGGAAAGATGAAACAAAAAAGGAAAACAGTGTTCATCTCCTAGTCAATTCATGAATAATTGAGGCAATAATTGGCCTTGGCTTCTGATAATTCAACAACTCAGATCTTATTTTTGCAGTTATCATCAGTTCTGGTTATTTATATCTACAGTTCTTTAATTGTAATTATTTGCTTTTCTCATCACAACGTGGAAAAGCTTGAATTTCAATTGTGAAAGAATACTCTGACTCACAAAAGATGTCTGCAAGTATAATCCTCTGCACGATATCTATGAAGCAGGGCACTCAGCAAGGTAAACAGGCACATGGCTATCGTTTTGCCTCAACCAATACAAGCAGAAATAATAACCCATAAAACCACAAGTTGTTAAAACAAATTGGGTCTTCTAAACGTCCAAAGCATGGCTACTATGAAACAATAAATCATAAAATATACAGAAATTAATTCCATGTGTACAGGGTAAAAAGTCAACCTGTGCAGATAACAGGTGATTCAAGTCTTCCTGCTCCTGTTCCACATGTTTACAAGCATCACCATATATAGCTGCAGCCTTAGCTAGTATGTTCTCGTTGATGTTCTCAGCTCCATATCTCCAGCAGTCCTCAGACAACTTGGTTCCTAACTACCACAAAGTTTGTCTTAGATAAAAAATAAGCATGAAAGCACCTATATGTCACAATAGTACTTGAAAAAACAAAATGACAACAACAAACAAACAAACCAGTAGGAACCCAACATGAAGTTCATTCAATTCCCTTTTATATTCCCCAATGTTAATAGAATGTGTTTGGACACAGTATCAATTGATTTTTTACCTGCTTCAATATGTCTGTACCCTATGGCCGTAAAGGCTTCTGCTGCTTTAACAATATCCTTCTGGAAATCCTGAAACAAAAAGTATCATACGCATTAGAAAGCACAATTTAAATATAAGAATTATGCAAGAAAAAGGAAATAGTGATCAAAGCCTATTTGATGCCTTTCAGAATCATGAGAACTCTCCCAAAGCTAGTGAGCTATGGACAACAGGACAAACTTAAGTTGTATATAAATCGTAACTATGTAAACATAAAACAAAGCCTCTTTCTTTACAATATAGTTTTCTTGAAAATACAACCAATAATATGGATACAGTGCCGTCCTTCATCTTAATAGGGTTGCTGTCCCTACCAAACCTCACTGATAATATGCTAAAGTGAGATAACACATACTGTATTTAACATAAATGAATTGTGTCACTAAGCATCAATTTTTGCAAATGCTGGCAATAAAAAGAAATTATTGAACAAGCATTGCACACATGTCATTTCAAGAAGGCATTGGACAAAAAAAAAAAAAAAAAAAAGACTCAAATGGTTACACAAATTGTGTTTCACACTCACCAAAACTTGCACCAGGCCTCCATTTCATTTAATATATTTCCCCTCACCAAAAGCTCAATTACCACATGTATGAGACTTCAAACGATATTAGAGCAGCTTGACCACAAGAAAAATCAGATATCACCATGTAACGTTGAGGCGAGTGATTTAAAGCTCAAGCACAATTTCTTGTCATATATAAAGCTAAGTGAAGAAATTGGACATAGTGACAGATAATAAATAGTGGATAAGGACTCTGGTATAAGACATTTTTTAATAAGAACTATGGCATAGACATCCGAAAGCTGTTAAAAAGATTTGAGGTTATTGGCATTGGCAATGTGCATAGACAAAGAATTGGATGAGCAGTTTTCGTACATTTGACCAGGAATTTGATTGTACCATAAAGGCAGTTCTTGTATCAAATGATAACCATGTATGGTACCATCAGATTCCTGGTTGAGAAAAAAAAAAAATTGTTCAAAATGAATGTTAAGGTGGCAGATTCCTTGCTGTCGTATCCATAAATTCATTTAGCATGTCATCTATTGAAATGTAGGATCATTCTTTCATCATCCACAAACCCATTCTGATACAAATTCATCAAAGGATAAGCACTTTCCTAAACATGTTAATTGCATTAACAAACTGATTACTTCTCTTAAAGCATATAACACATTATTGGGGTGAACTAGTCAACCATGAGCTGTATCACTTGCTATTTCATAAAATATAATGAGAAAAAGATTTAACATTAATTTTCATCTCAAGGCGGCAAAACTATCACACCTTCCCTGAACGTGTCGACCTGTACAGCTTCTCTAGCTGCTGATGTCTGTGCATCTCAACTTCATCAATAACCATTACATCTGAGCTTTCATAACCCGTGCCACTGAACTGCTTTATGACAGCCTAAAATCGAAATATAAAAAAAAAAAAAAAAAAAAACATTAGTAGGCATTAATCAAGTAAACTTTCTAAAGAATACATGAAGAGGGTCAAATTTGTTCAGTCTGAGGTTCATAATACAATGAACACATTCTAACACAGAACATTAGAAGACAATATATGAAGCTTATAAATGCTGAATGTGCAAGAATGTGTTTTTATCGTGATTTCTAAATTCATATGCTGAATTAGACCCCAACAAGCTTCTGATTATTGCTGATTACAGTGTACTAAGCAATATATACTCTGACATAGATTTCACCAGATAGAGAAAAAAAACTATGGGGACACTCCTCATGCATAATGACCATGAGGAGGCAAGATTTAAAGAATGAGGCAGGTGATGAAGTTTGACCCAGGATGTTTCTGTTCAGTGGTTTAATCATGGATGGTCTATCCTCTGTGGGTTTATGGGAGTGGATTGCAAGATATTGTGGATATGTTCTGTCTTTCCACAAATTTAGTACATTGGACATAGGGGAATGCTAGAATCTTCAAGGATATTTCACCTTGAGACAATTGCTGTGTAATAGGATAGTGTCACTTGTTGCTTTATGGTGCAATACTTAGGGGGGCCTTTCGGGTTGTCGCCTAACTGGTATTCAGGGATATTGGTGCTCTCTTCGATCTTGAGGTTTCTTTCTTCTTTCTTTTGTTGTTGGACAATGGCTTATTCTCGATGATGTATTCATAGATTCCTTCTTTCTGACACTTTAAAAATGTAAAATGGTCCATATCATTCTGGGTGACAATTTCACATGAAGACCAGGTCTTCCAGCACCTTAAAGCTTCACTATTCGCACTATGCAGCATGTTTAAGGTAAGAATGAAATGTCCATTGAAAAATTAGTCCACCCTAAATCGAACTCACAAACAGGTGTGATCCAGTAACATTAGCGTCTTTTCCTACATAAAATGCATTTCGGTGGTTTAAAACTTCTAACTGCTCAAGTGCACCAAGATGAACTAGCAAAAATCAAGACAAATTTGGACATATGTAGTACAAAGCTTTCTAACTTCATTTGCTTCCTGCGTTAAAGGTTGGTATTAAATGCAACACGCAAATTTGAAAACTCAAACTCTCTAGTTTATGATATGGACTTTTCTATAAGCACAAAGTGAACACACGCATCTAATGGAAAATATCTACATAAACAGCCCAAGGATTCGTGTTCGCCATAAATTTGGCATTGCTAACTTCAATTATTTTCTCTCATCACAAAATATTAGATGGATATGAACCCTCCTCATCCACGTCATTAAGTATGCCCAAGTTGTTTACAAATAATTGAACTCAACAGTTTACTGAACCAAAATCAGATGTTGCACAAATGCAGCACTCTAAAATCCATTAACAACCAAACCCCACTTTAAAAATTTAAGCTAAATCCAATTAGTTTAAACTGTTTATTGAAAACCCAGTTGAGCAAAAAAACAAAAGAAATCCAACAAATGTTCCATTGATTTCCTTTTCGACATTTAGTCAGCAAACAAACCATCAGAGACTCGGCTGAAAAATGAGAAAATAAGAGAGTTGAAACAAAAGGGCAAGCTTAGTAGATAGAATTGTTTACTTGTTGTTGCTTGGCAACTTGTTCTCTCAACTTGCTGGCTTGTTTCCTCAATGCATCCATTTTGGTTGTGTCTTTGGATACTGATAACTAAGTCAAAACTGAGAATGGGTTTTCCTTTGGATTTCGATTCAATTCCAAAAACTTCAGATCTGAGAGAAGGAAGAATCTCTATAGCTCTCTCTTTCTCTCTGTTCCTAGCTGGAAGCTGCTTCAGTACTTTCAATTCATCACTAGATTTTGATTTTTGTCCTTCTTTTCTATCTCTATTTTTCTTTTTTTTTTACTTGTCATTGTTTTATTTTTATTTTATTTTATTTTATTTTTAGTTAATTTTAATTTAGTCTCGTAGATTATCTACATTAATCAATTAGTCCTCAATATATATTTTTTTAAAACAACAACCAAAAAACAAGTTGGACTGTAATAGGCCCAAAATCTATGCCCAAGCAGGCCCGTGAACACACATAGATAGAGGTATTTGTAGTAATACGGGGACAGCGAAGACAGTAGTAATTTGTATGCTAAAATTACGGAGATAATGATGGTGGCATTGGAGTTAATGATGACAGCGACAATGTTGAAGGAGGGTTGTAATGGTAAAAAGGTGATAAGAAAAAACGTTCTAGTGGTGCAGTATTATGATGATGATAATACCGATAGCATGATGTCCCGTAAAAATAAATAAAGAATTAAAACATGAAATCATGTTGTTGTTTTAAATAATCTCATTTATATTTTAGGATGGTTCGTTGGAAAAACTCAACTTAAACATGTCTTTTATTGTTTTTCTTTTTTTAAAAATAGAAATAAAAATAAAAATAAAAGGAAACATGTTAGGATATTAGCAACAACTATGGGATTAACTAGAGGTTTGACCTATGGATTATATTGTGTTTCCTATTTTGGTGTATGATTGTGTATAAATAACTTTATCTACACTCAAGATAAATACATAAAATTTTCAAGACGTAGTATTTACCTCGACAATTTTTTTTATTTTTTTAGCATTTTGCATTAATTATTTACACCTAAAAAGTTATTTTGTTCTATGTTTACGGAGTTTTAGTGCTCCATTTTGTGCATTACCTTTATTTTTAGCTTTTTCATTGTCTAACGAACTTATCTACAAATTTTCATTGCTATTGGAGTTTTCATGCACCTCCACTTTTTCTTTTTTGTTCGTGACACATCCTGCATGTATGACTCACATCTATTTTGTCCAATTGAATTTTTTTATTTAGCGGTTTAACATCTCGAATTTGTTAATATTTTAGTATGTTTGTATTTAATCCAAATTTAAATTGGATTGAACTAATTCTTATGGTTTTCAGACATTTTTTTTTTTTTTTTGGTCTAGGTATATGCATATTAACTAATAAATTAAAGAAAAACGAGATTTAATTGTAGCTACACTATTTGAAACACTGTGCACACACTCATATTTCACTATTCATCCTCTCACAATTCACTGTTACTTCTATTATTTATAACTTTTTTTATACTTTGGTCCCTAATATTATCAAATGCATATTTTGATCCACATGTTCATTTACTCATCCATTTTGGTTTTTGGGTGGAGAGAGAAGGTTGAGAGGAGGAGAGAGAAGGAGGAGAGAGAAATCGTCGACTAAGCTCATTTAGGCCACTCCGGCCGACGAAAATCGACTAGAGTATTTTACCTTTGAGAGATGGGTTTGTCCATGGTAGTTTCAAACCATTAAACAGTTAGATGAAGTAGATTGGAGCCAAAAAAGAAAAAAAATCGATTTGATTTTGTATTTTTCTTTGTTTTTGTGTGTATTAAAATTATTTTTAAGGTTTTAGATGTGTTTATTGACTTTATTCCGGTCATTTAGATGTGTTTGGGGAAAAAAATAATATCGGAATTCAATTATTAGGAGTATGAAAGTTGATCCTTGATTTTTCGACGAACTTCGGACGACCCCTGGTTCACTAAAAGTTACAAGTTTGTTTGTTTGTTTTTTTTTTTTTTTCAAGAAAGCCTAAGCCGTGGGCCTGCCTGCAGAGGCTAGCCACGCCATGCCTCCTTGACATTTTTTTTTTTTAAAAAAAAAAAAGTCCAAACCTGGTTGCAAGCCAACCACGCCCCCCTCTTTCACTCTCTCTTTATATATATATATATATATATATATATAAAAGAAGAAAAAAAAGCAATTAAGAAAAAAGTCTACCAAACAAAAAAATATAAAATATATAAAAAAATCGTTATTTTTTTAGTTTTTCATAAAGTTTTTATATATATATATATATATATATATGATCATCTTACTTTTATTGTTTAAATTTAATTATTTATTTCTTATTAAAATTCATATAAAAATAATTTTTTTATTTAGTTTTATTTGTTAATAATTTTATTTTTTTAATATATAAATTTTGAAATAAAATTTTATAACGTCGGTGTTTTATTTTTTAAATATATCATTATAATTTATACAATATTTTTTTTTACTTTTTAAATGTAATGTTTTTTGTTGATTATTTTTATTATTTCAAATTTATTAATTTGATTTTTTTTTAATTCTCATCCATTTAATTTCAAATTACATTCAAAATTTAAAATATTTTTTTTCACCTTTGATTTCATATATTTTTATACATTCACACTATAAAATAAACTATCAAACTAAAATAATTTTTTTAAATAATTTTATATATTTTATCCTACCGGTAACGTAACGGGGGCAAAAAACCTAGTTGTATCTCTGTAATATTGTTTGGAAATTGGTTTATTTTTAGGTCTTTTGTTTGATTTGTTTTTTAAAACTTGTTCATTGGTTTAAATAAGTTCCTGGGGTTGTTTGACACAATTTTTCATATTTTGAGCCTTGGTATTGGCTAGTTCTACTTCTATGACACCATTCCAATATTGACTTTTTTTTTTAAATTAAACAAATTCTTAATCTTAGAATTTTATGGCAAAGATGTTTTTCTTAACTTGCCAATTGTTTTACTAGTTTCATGATTCATTTTTTACCATTACATATGAGTCGGACCCTAATATATTTCATGAAAATATTATTTTATCATTTTTAATGATTTTTTTATTTTCACTATCATCGTTAAATTTTTTTACATATACCATCATAAGTTATCTGGTTTTTATATTTAAATTGACATATATGACGGAGTTTTAAGTTTTGAGGAAGAATATTTGAATATTATACATTTATTTTGAAAATCATTGAATAGTTATGAGATTTATTTTAGCCCAATTCATAAAATTACAATTATATTTTCTATTTAGATTTATAAATTATTTATAAATAGTATTGTCCATTCTCAAAAAAACATTTCAAACGTAATCTATTGATGATTTAATTTCCTTGTAGTTTATATTTATTTATTTATTTATTTCAAATTCATACTAGGATAACGGTATGATACCAACTCCTCATGGATCATGACAGGAGAAAGGAAAAAACCATTTGATCAAAGTAACTTTTTGACCAACCTTTTTTTTAGTACTACTTTTAATCTGAAATTCAAAACAAGATCCCCCACCCCCCAGATCCCAACTCAACAAACTAAAATTGCACAAAAACAGGAAGGGCCCATATCAGCCTTTCGGTTTCCCAAAACCATCCTCATCATCAAGCCACAAAAACCACTAATCCAATCTAACCATGAATTCTCATGTCAGACAGAAACAAACTCATTTGGCAAATTGTAGACCACTCACCTTCCTCCCAATCACTAAAAGCCAAATTCTCTCTTGTCCATCACCCTATCCATCTTTCCACCCCTAATAAATGTTAATCCCAAAATTCGAAACACAAAAAAAAAAAAAAAAAAAAAAAAAACCTACACATATTCCTTTCCCACAGAATTAACACCCCTTTTATCCACTAATAATCCCAAAAATCTTGCCAATGTTTAAGGAAATGGATTCCATCCCCACTTATTAGCGTTTAAATCTCAGGTCAGAAAATTTAATTTCCCTAATATTTGTTTATTCAATAATAAAAAAATATTTTTAAATTAATATGTGGATTAATTGAATGCTAATTAATATTTTAAATTAATCTATGGATTAATATAATGCTAAATCTCACTTTTAGAAGATTTTAAGGATACTCTTTCCATATTTATATCTTACATTCAAAGAAATTTAATGAACTTTTATGAATACTAGTTTTTAAAATTACAATCCTTTAACATAGGCAAACTCAATATTCGATTATTTATTTATTTATTTATTTCGGAGATTGGAAAATACAAAACAAAGCAAAGAGAATCCAGACACACAGGAGACGGACACAGAATCTTAAAAAACACACTTCTATATATGACGCTTGAAATGAAATTTTGCCCTTTTAAAATCTTTTTTTAAAAAAAAATCATGAATAAATACTAGCATCTTCTTCACGAGCCTCAACATGGCAGACCTTACCTGTACGTACTAAGTGCTATTCTTGTGCTTTACAGTTTGTGCTGTACATACCAAGCCTAGAGCGAGACACGATCTGTGCATCTCTCTCTTCGCATTTTTTTGGTTGGGTTTGACAGCCCCACAAGAAAGAGATTATTGAGTAATTAAGGGCTAAAGCTAAAATCAATCATGCCATCAGGTGCTAAGAAGAGGAAAGCTGCCAAGAAAAAGAGGGAAAAGGAGGCCAACAACAACTCTTCAATCAACACCAACAATCCTCAAGGTTGCTTCTTTTTTCTTTTCAAAAAAAAAAAAAAAAAAGAAAAGAAAAATTGTTTAAAGGGTTTTCACTTTTTTAGTACAATAACCCATCACTTGCCAATCTGTCGCTCAATCATACTCTCACTTACTCACCTTTCCTCTCTGCTGTTTGGTATGTTATTTGAATCCGAGTAATGGGTTTTTGTTGATAAGTCTTGTTTTGATTGCGTTTTATTGGATTGCCGTATTATTCCCTGCAATTTTTTAGTGATGGGTACTTACTAATGACCCTTTGATTTTGATTGGAACTATTGTCGTAGTTTTGGTGTTTTGTAGATTTTGGGCTACTAGGTGTCTGTTGATATCCCTTTTTGATCGAGTTTGATAGGTTTCTTTATATACCGGTTTTGGTGTTTTTGGCAATCTCGTTAGTGGGTATCTTTTCATCTCCTTCTTTTAGCTTGGTTTTGATTGGATTCTTGGTGGGTTATTTATTTATTTATTTATTAGTAGATGCATTTGTTTATGTTTTGCTTGGGAATTTTGTGGTGGTTTTTTATTTTTTTCCTGGGTTTTGGGGTTAACAATCTGCTTTGAGATTTTGATCGTGATAGTTTAACCTACTTACACTGTTGCCTGCATGTTTAACTCCTTCCAAATTTGGTTCAGTTTAGCGATCAGTTCAATTTGTTGTGCATTTTTTAATGTTCCTTGCTACTTGAATATTGTTGGAGTATGGTTGAAGTGTTTATCTGTCACTTAATTATCATGCGATTCTGTTTGGTACACATTTTTAAGGTTTTTTTTTTAAAAAAAATCAAATTAGTTGGATGTGAGTTACAGAGTTAGTTGATCTCTTATCGATAGCCTGAAAGTGATGTAATTTCTTTTGATTGAATTGATGTATCCAATCCTTCGCCTGCTTTTCATTATAGAGACATATTGGTGTGATGAACATTTTTATGTTCATTCTCCTGTCCTTAAATTTGATTAGAACTCTGTTCTTTAACCATTTTTCTAACTGGAAGTTCTTGTGACTTTATCAATGGTTTAGGAAATGATGATCCAAAAAGCCATGATGAAAGAGAGAGTGACGGTGGTGAGGTTGGTTCCCCTGTATTGCAGGACCAACACAACCACCAGCATCCATTTAATGAGGGGAATGGAGAATCTGAGAAGAGAGGCCCATCACCTTCTATTTCATTTGTCCACCAAAACAAGCCCATGGAGGGAGTCCCTGCGGATGCAGAAAGAAGCCTAAAAGTTGAACCAGAGGACAACAATACTGTTAAAATTGAGAGAGAAGTGGACTCTGAGCAAAATGTGGAAAGTAAAGTTTTTATTATTGAGCACATTGATTCTCCAAAGGAATCTCATAATGAAGATGACAGGAGCTCTAGCAGTAGTAGTTCTAACAACGAGCCTCAAGCTTTTGAGAAGAAATCGAAGGAAGCCAATGACGAGGAAAAGAAGGCTGGTTCTTTTTCTGAAGAGGTGAAGCGGATCCCTGAAAATGACAAACCAGTCAAGGAAGCTAATAGTAATTCTGTTTTGGAAACTGCCTCTGCTGTTAGTTTGATTAATCCTGTTGTGCCCATTTCTGAGACGGAGAAATTTGTTGTGGAGAGTGGTCACGTTGAAAGTCCAAAGGTTCTGGAAGTGGTGGAATCCGGTTTTGAAGAAGACAAATTGTTGCCTGTATCCAATGAGTTTGCTGAAGTTTCACCGGCTATTGTGGAGCCAAAGAAAAATGAGGATAAACTTTTTCCTATCTTGGATGAGAATGTTGGGGCATCTTCAAATGTGATTAGTTCTTCTGTACATGGAAATGCAGGGAAAACATTGGCATCAGCAGACAGTAAAACTGGTAATGGTGGAGAAAAATCCCAAGGCACTGATGCTCCTGAAAGTACTGAAAACCAGGTTTGTCTTTACTTGATTGTGAGTTTGGTTTATCATTCTATTTCTTGAATTTGTTGCATTTACAAGTGAATATGTTCTGTTTTGCTGAATTGGTCTGCAGCCTCTTCCTGCTTCTGCTCCACGAGTAGCAGAAAGAACATGGTGGATGAGCTGCTGTGGTTTATTTGATGTTTTTACAGGTTCCAATAGATAATTTCAGGTTAGTATTATTCCCTAAATTTAAATCAGGATGTGATTTGGTTGGAGGTTGAGATCTTGTACATATACTGCATATAAATATGACCTCATGTCTTTCAGGTACCATTTTGTTGTGATCTGGTTTGAGGCCTTATTGTACAGAATATGCCCCCACTTTCATGTGTTTTGTAGATTTGTTCTTCGTTAAAAAAATTTTAAAAAATGCGTTGCAGATCATAGAGGGTCATGTGGTTGGTTCTTGCATTTTTGTAAAGCAGATGCAAGCTCCTAAAGTTTCAACATCATGGTTGAGGAGAACTCAAAATAAATCCAAATCAAGATAATTCTTTGATTAGTCAGTTTTAATGGGGCTGATAAGTTGGAACTAGGGTACATATCCATGACAGATCACCTAGGAATAGTATAAATTCTATGTTATAGAAAATCTGGGGATTTTTCTTTGGAGAAGCTTATTTCATTACTTAATTTTCTTATAAAATCTCTTGGAGTAGTTGAAGATGCAAATCTGTCCAGTTTGCTATTTTTGCTCAGCATGTGTTCTTTTTGGGCATTTCCTCAGTTTGAGCTATTCCATACCTTTTTCTTTTTCTTTTTTGAGTTATTTAAAAGAGTATATTTGGAGAGATTCTGAACTCAAAAAGCCAATTTGTGATTTGCTTGTGCTTTTAAAAGCTCTTCAGATCGTTTAACTGTTCACCATCTGCAGATTCTTTTTACTGGAATCTTGTTTTATTTTTGATTTGGTTCAACCATGGTTTAAGGGGTAATAATGTTTTGGTTTTCGTGCTTAGCATATGGCCTTATGGCTGTTGTCTTGTCTTTTTGTTTGGTGATATTAATTTATAATACCCCATGCATCTGTTGCAGAAGCAAGCAAGCACGGGGAAGCTGTCTTGGAGTGGGAATTTGAAAAAGGATCTGGTTTGTACAAGGTTGAGATACGAGAGTTAGAATCTCTTACAAAATTTTCCGAAACAATAAATAAATGGCAGGAATCCTATATTACACCACAGTTGTATAAACTTTGCAAATAGTGAGCTTCAACATTGTTGGCTAGCTTAGTTGACCAAGCCTAAGCCCCTCTTTTTCTTGTCGTTTTCTGTTTGTTCTAGCAGACCTGGGTGTTCTATGTTTTTCATTCTTCGATTAGTATGAGCAGAGATTGATGACATGAACTCAGCTTTTCTAGTATGAGACCAGTGTTTTTTTCCGTCGTCGCATGAAGAGTTTTTTTAATTTTTTATTCTTTTTGGTGAAAGCTAGACGTTTCTTTCTTGTTTATTCAGTATCACCATTATTATAGTTTAGCGTATCTCAATGACCAAAAATAATGGATAACTTTCAAAGCTTGATTTGCTGAAATTATAATTGAATCCACGTTCATTATGTAGAAAATTTTTGTAATTTTCTAGATTAGGTTATCCCAAGAACCAAATAAAAAAAATAAAAAAATTGCAAAATCCAATTTATTAAAATGATGATTAAAGCAAGGAGCATTAAATAAGCAACAGTAATTGATTAATAAAGTCTAATTAACCATGGTGCCAGTAGATGGAAGAAACAATAGTTCGATCAGAGTATCAAGAGACGTGATAATGAAATTATGATGCCGTACACCATTTCGTACATTTCCTTGTTAATTATTTGTTTATACAAATAAGAACACAGCACACCAATCACACATAAAAACATCAATCTCCTTGTTAGTTTCAAACCCCAAAGAGCCCGGAAAAAGAAAAAGAAAATGAAAACACACCAAGCATAAATAAAGGGACTATTTTTAAGTTCTCCTAAATTATGAGGCACCGTGGATGGCTGCTATATATAGAAGCTGTGTAGCAGAAAGGATTATCAGAAATGCTTCCATGGTTCTCTGTAGAAAGGGAAAAAAAAAAAAAAATTGTGTTCAAATTTGAGTATGATCATACGCAAAGATATATAATCTTGGGTTATTAATTTAACATAACAAGTGATGAAGCTGTTTCTTAGTCTCACCAGACGGGCGTTCCTGACAGAGAGCTCAATTTCTTTACAGGCAAAGCTGCACAAATTTTGTTGCCAGTCAGTAATCAGCATAGCAGGAAACAAACATATGTATTTTTTTTTTTTCCTTTTTGAATGTAAATTGAGCTTTCTAAACTGGCTTGAGAAAACATTTTGTTCTACCCCAATTTCGGAACCTTGTTTGATAGCTAATTGCTAAAGGAGATGCTGAGAGAAGGGGCAAAGCTGAATGTGTTTGGTGGTTGCTTACCCCATGGCTAGAAGAGTGAGAGTCCAAGCGATGGCGGCAGTGGAGGCTGCGGATGGCAAGCTATCTGTGGTCCAAATCCGAATGTGATTCAGACCAACAATTGCTGAGGCAACACCAACAACTCCGGCAATCAAAGCAAACGTCACAAAGAATCCAGTGGCAGCATTTCCCATTGGGAAGTAAATAGGCGAGAAATGTGCTGGAAGGCTAAAGTCAGGTCCTGAAATTAAGTTGTAACATGACAAAATTAGCACCCAGACCATACTAGCAGAAGACAATTAGTACTCCATCATTAATTAAGAAAGAGGGTGAAGGAGGGGAGAAGAGGGTGAATTACCAATGATGAAACCATGATCAATGGCTCTATTCATAGCCCAACTGCCAATTCCCAAAACTATGACGTACATGCAGAGATTTAAGACCAAAAGTAGCCTGGAAACTTGTTTCATCTGCTCGTTGGCCATTGTTGCACAGTAAACTAAAATTTGTGAAAGGATGAAAGAATTTTTGGAGGACTCCGAAAGTTCAATGCAGGAAAGACTAATTCGAGGGCTTGTGTTTAATTTGTGCTAGAAGATTGAGGCTTTTATAAATGGGATTGCATGGAGGGTTTTGGTTCTTTGCTTGCCAAGTTTGGTGACTCCAAAAGGATCATGCATTACCATGCGGGGTTGTATATGCTTCATGTTGAAGGCAAGCCTTCAAAATACAAGATTCTTGCTTTGGTTTGCATTTTAATCTAATCTAAATTCTTTGCAAAAGCTAGGTACATTCCTTGATTAGGCTTTCCTTCCATTTTAGTTTGTTCCTAGGAGGAAAAGTGATATTCTCTGCCAGTTGGCCAGGACCCCTTCCTCTATCTTGTTTTCCATGGCTTGATCAAAATTTATTTGTATGAACTACTGCTATGTTTCGTCTAAATTTCTAATTGATGCTCTGTGGATCAATATTAATTGTCTTTTAGGTGTAAATTGATTATTATAAATAAAAGGTTCACAATGAAAATATAAGAATTAAAATAACATTTTTCTTCTAATATTATGTTTAGAATAGTAAAAAAAAAAAATTTCAAAAAAAATTTAAATTTTTAATATTTAATTTTTAAGACAAATAAAAATAATTATTAAAAAATAATTTTATCAATTAAAATAATAATAAAAATAATAGAGTTAATTGTAGTGATAATAGTAGTGGTAATGGAAGAAGAGATGACGATACTAATAATAATATATTTTAAAAACATTGACATCAATATCATAGAATATGACAATAAAAAAAAAAAAAAAAAGACAGTGATAATAGTAACAATGGAAGAGGTAAAATGGTAACAAAATAATAATAAAATTTTTTATTTTTATTTATTTTTATTTTTTATTTTTATCACTATTACTAATGGAGTTGTGGTGGTGCTAATAGTATTAGTAGTAAAAATGATTGATATATAATAAATAAAAATAATATATTACTATTTTAAAGAAAAAATTTTATTTATTTATTTATTTTAATATAAATGAAATTATGTTTAATTTTAATTTTCATCCATATTTAATTTTCATTTTTTTTTTTAACAAAACACCTATAAAATGGAAATAAAATTTCCAATTTATTGTCGCTATTCTTCTTCTTCTACTACTACTTTTTTTAGCAAACAATAATAGCTTAAAGCAATATCAATTAATACATAACTGATTTCCCATCAGGATGACTTTAGCGATGGAAGGATGCTGTTTAAACCGATAATTACATCGGAGATTTACCTAGCCTATATTCGAAAGTTAAAAGTTATATAACATTGAAAACAATATTAACATTAACATATATTTCTTTTACAAAATCAAGTTTAATATTTATCGTAAGGTATTACACCTCAAAGTGAACATTTTAAAATCAATTTCTTTTCATCTACAAAATAGAAAGTTAAAACTTTCTTCTCAAAAATATTCCATTATCTTTTTTTTTCTTTTTTTATCTAGAAAGAAAAAAATTACTCCATTAGACATTGCCTTTGTATTAGTTTAGATTCTGCATGTGGCAATGCAAATGAATAGTTTAAAACGTTTTATGTTATTCTGCTTCTTCCTTTCTATATTACTATGTCTAATACAAATAAATAAATAAACATATACATAGTTTTTCTAATATGTGTCGTAAAAGCACACTTTAATTTACGCAAAAAATAAAAAATAAAAAATTAAAATTAATAAAATTAAATTATGGATTATGATTTTACTTAATTATAAAAATATATGATTTAATTATGAAAGGAAAACATTTTATTTATATAAATTAATGTGTGTATTTAGACATGTTAGAAAAGCCTATATATAACTTGATATTTGAACAAGTCATCGCGTAATGGAGAAATTAATAGAAGTATTTGATTGATAATTTTGAAAAAATTGATGCATTAAAATTTTTTTTTATATATTCCATCAAAATTGATAAAATTATAATTTGATATAATGAGAATAACATGTCATGTAAGGAAAAAATTGACAAGAGTACTTGACAATTTAAAAAAAGATTAATATACTCCAACAAAAATAAATAAAGTTCACATATTTTATTAAAAAAATAAAAAATTTATGTACTCGTAATGCAATTTTTGGCTTGATATTTCAAAATTTCAAACCCCCACCCCAACTTTTCCAACTTCAACTTCACTCCTGGATTTCCCATGATTCACGCCAAATCCTCCAAATGTCATCAAATCCTTCATGGATATCATTTACACCAAAACAATTACTCCCTCTTTCAAATCCTTACTGTCTAAACAAATTAAGAAATAAAGACCAGACCAAGCTCAGGTGAATTTTGATAAAATCCCATCTCCAGATGCTAATCTATATTCCATGATGATTGCTGGGTATACAAGAAATGATACGCTATGTGATGCATATTGAAACTGTTTGATAAAATGTCTGTTAGATATGTGAACAGTCATGAAGAATCCTCGTGTATGTGGGGATTTATACTACGCTTATACGTGTCCCAATATCGTAGAGCGTGAGATTGTTGTATTCTGACCGCTTTCACCACTCCAAGCATCACATTTGTTCTTGCAGGGATTATTGGTAGCATTAGTTGGGTTTTGTCTTGTCCAAAGGTAGGTAATCACCTTTTTGGCCCAGTGAAGAAAAAGAAAGTTCTTTCTGAGAAAGAATACAATCTCTTTTGGGAAGGAAGTTCGGTATGTATACGCTGTGGATAAACCATTTTGCCAAGAAGTTTAAATAGTCAGAGTATGAGCTTGGAAACTTTGTTTACAGCTCAAAAGGAGAGGGTGGGATGGTCTTATCACTCTGTAAAAGGAAGAGAAACTCAAGCTCTGATGGACAGCCTCAGAATCAGGAAGTAGTTCCAGGTACGCAGCCCAGCTGTTTTGCGTCTCTCATAGGAGGAGTTTACTGTACGAGCTGTCAAAGCTGCAGTTGGAGATCTTTAGTGCTAATGTAATTGGTGTTTCGTGAGCATGAATGCTGATCATATGATTTTCTTGCAGAAAAACTCTCTTCAGCTTGTGCGAATGACAGGTACTTTGTCTTATTTATGGTTTCCTAGTCAGACAATTAATTTTATCTTCGTCGTAATATATATTAAAGTATTTAATTACATTAGTCATAAATGGTTTTGGTAATTTTATGACCATTAATATCGTGGTCTTGTAAACAAATTGTTGGTTTAAAATCTTTTTCTTTATGAGTATGAAAAAATGTAACATTTTGGAATTTGATTTGAACACAAAGCTATAAAAGAGTCAGTGACTAGTAATATTGAAGCTAGCTTTATAAATATTTACCTATTATACGAATAGCAGATAAGTATATGAGCAGCATCATGCTAAGAATCCAATAGCCCTCATACAATTTCCATAGCCACTCAATAAACTTGGCTGCGTCAAGTGCATTAAACTGCCTTTTTAGTTGAAGATCTTTTGACATAGCCATGTATTGGGTCTTCTGACGTAGTCATGTAATGGCAAAAGTTTCAAAACACGCAACTATTTAAGCAGCAGCTGCATCTTTTCGTGTTAAGCATTTAACAATATTTTCTGCATTGCAATTTTTAGAATGTGTCAAATGAGTTGTATCAATAACAAAATCGAACAGATAGAGCAAGCCATGCCCGGACAAAGGTTTTCATGCATGGGGCTTGTAAATTTAATTGAAATTTTTTAATCAGATAAAAAACTAGTTGTCCATAAACCCAAGGATTATTCCTTTGGGTTACAGTCACCTCCAACTATTTTACTGTATCTAAGCTTACGTCATAGTACTGAATCTATTCATCAGGTATTGTAGAAGTTAAGTTTCCATGTTGCTGAAAACCGAGTGCATGTAATTGCTTCGAAATAAGTGAAATGTTTTTGTAGAAATTATATTTGTAGGAGCTAATTATTGAACTCGAGTTCATTGTTTTGTTAATTTGACATCTAGAAAACTGATGATTCAGAGTAGCACTAACACATCCAGGTGGTTTCAGTGTCAGGCTCAAATTGTTCTATGTATCTTACTCGAGTTGTTTACATATCCTAGACCTGTTTATATATGTCAGTTTGCCTCATTTTCTGTCATTATCAAACCAGATCAGGATATAACCATTGTTTTACCGTGGAATAGGACTGTTTGTACACAACTTTCGACTGGCTTACCTGATCAACTTCCATTTTAATGATTATCATGTACGGCTCCATTCCTCGCCTTCTCTAAGCATTTTAAAGTCGTGAAATTAAATGTAATTTGTGTCGCTTATATTTGAGTGTATCGACAACATTCAAAATGGGCTAACTTTTTAAGAGGTGTGTCCGTAATTTTACTGTTGAATGATGTAAGATTGTCTCCAATATTCCTTTTTTTTTCTTTGTTAATACATATCTTTGCAGGAGAGGCTACTTTCTACTTTCAGAAACTACCATTTTTATCTCTCAGTTGCCCACTTGAAGGGATCTGATCCAATCATATTAGATTTTATGTCAATTCCTGCAAATTTTCTATGTTTGAATCTCATTGTTATCTTAAATGCGATGCTCAATAACCAGAAATTAGAAGTGCCAAAAATTATTGACAGTTATGGAATGCTAAAGTTTTCCATTTTGTGGAGGTAGTTCACTTATTTGCATCCTTTGATCACGCAAGAAGAATATATAAGCATTTGCATCAGAGTGAGAGATGGCCTGCTTGGTGCTGTTGAAAGTCTGTTTGCATCAGACAGTGACAAATGGCTCGTTTGGGTGGACTACGGTGGTAAGTCTTTCAGTGATTAAGCTATTTGGTTTTTCAGGCCTTATATTTTTCAGCAAGAGAGTAGATTACCATGGAAAACTGTGCTATAGCTGTGCAGCAGTCTACATTGAATTCTGATGGAACAGAATAACTGGGAATTTGACGGCATTGAAATTTCAATACATGAAATTAAGTCTGTCTTCTCATGAGCCACTATATTTGTTTTTCCTTTGGGGATGGAATTAAGGCCTTTTCTCATCTTAAACCCTGATCAATATATCTTACCTTGCTTATGGATCTAGTTTCTTGATGTGATTCTTCATACTTTAGCATCTTGATAAATCATCTATGTCTAGCAGGTTCATTGATGGAAGTGGAGAAATTCCAATATTTCATCGCTCTCTGCTGGTCATCAGATGGAAGAAAATAGTAGCTCAAGGCAAAGTCATAGTTACTGTGGGTTGCGGTGAAACAGTCATCAATACTGGATTGAGATGAAAGAAATTAAATTCAAGTTTATTGAAGGAGTGAGAAGTAATTAAGAAGAAGAGAGGAGTCAACTGAAGATAGAATGGAAATGCTTTAAATAAACTACTGTAGAGAATGAGTGGGAGATGAAGTCACTCATAGGGATATAAGTAGGATTAAGAAGCAGACAGAAGATAGAATGGAGGCAGTGTATGGATAAAAAAAATCCATTAATTTATATGGAACCTGATCGAGAAGTTAATGCTAGCAATTAAGCCAAGGATTTTTGAAAACTCAAAAACTCAGAGGATGAGAGAAATTCATGAATTCAAAAGTTACAGTTTAAACTAAAAATTTCTGGTTGAAAAGTCAAAAAATCAGAGGAGCCATGCATGTTTCTTCAGTGCCCTTTTTTTTTTTTCCGAGAAATATATATATATATATATATAGGGATCAATTCCGATTCCTACGGTGACCGATGATGGGCCTTTTGTTCCCTAAAATGTTGGTCATCGAAGGTTGTCTTCATTCGTTAATGGTAAATCTGCTGAAGAGCCATGCCCATCCCGCGCCAAATTTCAAAACTTCAGATCCCCTCCTAAACTTTTCTCATTTCCAACTTCACTCCTTATAGTTCCCGTAATTCACACCAAACCCAAACCCAAACCCAAACCCTTTGTCATGGGTATTAATATCATTATGCGTTACGCGAGAACAGTCCCTCTCTCTTACACAAACTTACTCGCTAATCACCTTAAGAACCAAAGAGTAGACAAAGCACGCGTCATTTTCGATAAAATCCCGTCTCCAAATGTTCGTCTATACACCATGATGATTGCCGGGTATACAAGAGATGACAGGCTACGTGATGCTTTGGACCTGTTTGATAAAATGTCTGTTAGAGATGTGATTTCTTGGAATTCGATGATAAAAGGGTGTTTAGATTGTGAGAATTTAGGTATGGCTACACGGTTGTTTGATGAAATGCCTGACAAGAATGTTATTTCTTGGACGACGATGATAAATGGCTACTTGAAGTTTGGGAGCGTTGAGGTTGCTCGGAGGTTGTTTTGGGATATGCCAGTAAAGGATGTTGCGGCGTGGAATGCGATGATACATGGGTATTTTGAGAATGGGAGAGTTGAAGAGAGTGTCAGGTTGTTCGAACAAATGCCTGTTAGAGATGTCATTTCGTGGACTTCGATGATTGGAGGGCTTGACCACAATGGGAAGAGTGAAGAAGCGTTGTTTGTTTTTAAGAAGATGGCGAGTTCTGGTTTTCAGCCGACTTCGAGCACGTTTGCTTGTGTTTTGTCAGCTTGTGCCAATGCAGTGGAATTTAATTTGGGTGTTCAAGTTCATGCTCATGTTGTTAAGTTAGGATGTTGTTTTCATGAGTTTATATCAGCATCACTCATAACGTTTTATGCGAATTGCATGAAAATAGAGGATGCTCACAAGATCTTTAATGAGACACTGACTAAAAATGTCGTAAAATGGACAGCTCTTTTGACGGGATTTGTATTGAATAATAAGCATCAGGATGCATTGAGGGTTTTTGGTGACATGATTAAGGCGGGTGTTCTTCCAAATCAATCTACTTTCACTAGTACTTTAAGTGCATGTTGTGGATTAGAGGCTCTTGATAAGGGTAAAGAGATCCACACTGTAGCTGTTAAGATAGGACTGGAATCTGATGTTTCTGTTGGTAATTCTCTTATAGTCATGTATACAGAATGTGGAAATGTATATTCTGCTATTGCTATATTTAGGAACATTGATGAGAAGAATATTGTCTCGTGGAACTCAATTATTGTTGGAAGTGCACAACATGGTTTTAGCCTGTGGGCATTGATTTTCTTTACCCAAATGATACGTACAGGGGTAGATCCAGATGAGATCACATTCACTGGTTTACTTTCTGCTTGTAGTCGTTCTGGAATGTTGAAGAAGGGGAGGTGCTTTTTTGAGTACATCAGTCGATATAAATCCGACGTATTGAGGATTCAACACCATGCTTGTATGGTGGACCTCTTGGGCAGATGCGGGAAGTTGGATGAAGCAGAGGAATTGGTTAGAAATATGCCCATGAAAGCGAATTCAATGATATGGCTAGCGTTGCTTAGTTCATGTAGGGTGCATTCTAATTTTGAGGTTGCTGAAAGAGCTGCAAAACACGTTCTTGATCTAGAGCCACATTGTAGTGTTGCCTATGTCTTGTTGTCTAATATATATGCTTCTGCTGGCAGATGGGCTGATGTCTCTAGAATGAGAATGAAGATGAAACAGGGAGGACTTGTGAAACAACCAGGATCCAGTTGGGTAGTTTGAAGGGAAATAAACATGAATTTCTTTCTGCGGATAGATCCCATCCTTTAAGTGAAACAATATATGAAAAGCTGGACTGGTTGAGAAGAAAGTTGAAGGAATTTGGTTATGTTCCTGATCAAAGATTTGCTCTACATGATGTTGAAGATGAGCAGAAGGAAGAGATGTTGTCTTATCACAGTGAGAGGCTTGCTATTGCATTTGGGCTAGTTAGCACTGTGGAGGGTAGCACAATAACAGTCATGAAGAATCTCCGTGTGTGTGGGGATTGCCATTCTGCCATTAAGCTCATGTCAAGGATTGTAGTACGCGAGATTGTTGTTAGAGATTCTGGCCGTTTTCACCACTTCAAGAATGGCATTTGTTCTTGCAGGGATTATTGGTAGCACAAATGTTGGTTTGTTTTATTAAATCTTCTGGACCATTGTGCTGATAGGCTCATTAATGCATCTTTAGGATGACCAAAACAAAGATATATTTTGAAGAAGAAAGCAATTGTGCAGATAAACTTTGAACCTGGATAGAATTATGGCTCTGGTTTAAATGATGATTCCGAAGAAGTAGGAGGAAGAACATTGACCAATGCACAGAAGGAAGTGAAACAAGAAAAAGCAATACATAATGAAAAGAAAGGTACATCAAATCTGAGGAGTTTGTAGGCTGTGTAGCAAAACCTTTGTCTGAGTTCCTTACATCCATTGGTAAAGAAAAAACCAAAGAATTATCTCAACTTGACGTTAGTATCATTTCCAGGTATTGCAGAGGTAACAACCTTTTTGACCCAATGAAGAAAAGGAAGGCTCTTTTTGATGAAATGCTACAACCTTTTCTGGGAAGGAAATGTGAGAATAAATTGTTTTAAGGAGAGCTTGGAGCATTGAGAGGATGTGTTTGGAAACTCTGATATAGCTAATTTCTTGTCATTATGTAAAAGGCAATGAAACTCACAGCCAGATGGAAACAGGATAAGGAGGTAGTTCCAGATAGGCACAAAGCTTTACTGCCCCAGTCATGGCTAGGAGTATCAAGCTTGTCTACCTGAGGAGCTTGCTGGAGGAGCTGTCAAAGCAGCCGGAGACTTTGATTCTAATGTAACGGGTAGTTTCATGAGGGTTGAAGCTGATCTATACAATTGTTTGCAGAAAAGCTCTCATCAGCTCTGGCAAGTGACAGGTAATTGTATCATTGGCAGTTTTCTAGACAAGTAATCAATTCCACAAACCCAACAAACACACACACCCACCCACCCCCCCTCTCTCTTCCCTAATGTAGATTAAAGTACATAATTGCACTGGTTGTAAATAATGGTCTTGGTAATTTTGTAACAATACCATTTTTTCTTTTTTCAATACTAAAGTTAAATAAAAATTAAGATTCAAATTAATCTAATTCTCTCTTTTAATTTTGTTTTTGTCAAAACTTTCACCATTTTGATCCCTCTCAGTTATCATGTCCCTTTATTTATTTATTTATTTGAGTTATCATCAAATAGCACATTTGATATGTGCAACGAATCACTCTAGGTGAAACCAAAATTATCCCATACTCAAACTACCATTCTAATTATATGAGATATTAAGCTTTTTTCAAAATTGTCCTTCAAGATTTTAATGGATAATTGGATAAAAAGTATAAATATATATGCTAGTGAGAGAATGTATGAGAGGTGGCAATAGTGGTAGTAGATACTTAATATTAGAAAACATTTTTTATCATATTTTTTAGCTTAATTTTATTATTGTATTGCAAAAGGACTGTTAGATAGTGTAGACGAAAAAAAATAAATATTTTTTATCTTATTTTTGTATTGAAAAAATGTCTTTCTTTAATGATTTTTTTTTTAATATTTACTTTTTGCGTTATATTGAGATATTCCATAAATTTTGGAGACAAAATTAAAATTTACACAGAGTGGAAGAAAAAAAATACAGGATCTAATTAAAATAATCAAAGATTTTAGGTAAAATTGAAAAAACACATAAACCAGAGGAGGGAAAATAAAAATTTACCCTTGATTTTATTGAAATGTTGTGTTTATGTATATTATCATTCAATTTAACCTTTGTTTTTTTGTTTTGTTTTTGAAACTTAAAATTACTCTTATATATATATATATATATATATATATATATATATATATATATATAAACGAACATAAGTCAAGTAAGCTTAACAAGTTATAAATCATTTAATATAAATGAAATATATTTGTTAATTTTTTTTTAGCATGATACTGTCTGTATTGATCACTTCTCAAAAACACTGAATAAAATTTAACTAAACATTATTCACCTGTATTAAATATCCATAAGCACATCATAGCAACTTGTTACCTAACATTGCTTTTACCCAATAGAAAAGCACTAAACACTATATATAACTCATCACAATACATCAGCCACAACATAACAACGCCAAACATATTTTATAAATATGAAATTGTCTCAATTAAGTATATAAAGATAGATTGGAAAATCAACCGATTACATAAGGGGATACTAAATTATTTCCCTTAAATGTTATTACATGTAATAGATTTGCTAATAAGTATTAGCAGTACCTAAAAGGAAACACTATCGTTTGGACTTATTTCGAAAAGGTGTGAAATCTTGTGCCAATTTTCCCAATTCTTTCTCTTAAACTTCTTTTCTGAAAAAGGAAATTCATGGATTTCAAAAAAAAAGAAAAAAGAAAAAAAAAGATTAATAGAGATATATTCTAACAATACTGAGCTTTTTATGCCTAAAAGAGATCATGAATTTAAATTCTTCTTTCCGAGTGTTTGAACTTAGAAAAGTTCTATTACAAGAAAAGGCTAGTAGTATAAGTTTTCATCTCTGTATCAATGACCAATTAAGTCTGCTTTGCCTGTACGACTTTCCTCCTCTTACCCATCTAACAACAAATAAATTATAAATTAGTCTCTTTAGTTTCAAGAAACGAATTCATTAGTCCTTTTTGTTTCAAAATTATTATTATTATTATTATTCTTTAGTCTCTACATTTTTAAAATTTCTTGTAACTTAATCTTTTTCGCTTCTTTTCAATTTATTTTATTTTTTATGTTAGGAAATTAAAAAATAAATAAATAATATGGAAGTATTGATGAGAAAAGATAACATTTTATGAAATAAAGTAATATTAAATTAAACATAGTTAATATTGATGAACGAATTAGTTTTTAAAATAAGGAGACTAATTAATTCATTTTAAAAAATAAATGGCTTACTTTATAATTTACTGGCCTAACTATTAGGGTTGTATGTATGAAAAACAAAAGGGAGGGCATAAAATAAAAGATTATGTTTTTCCTTTTCAAATCGAAATTTATTAATAAGAGACATTGTGAAAAAAAGGCAAGGAGAAAAAAAAAGTCTGTAAACTTAGCATTGCAAGCACAAAGGTACATGATCTTAAACACACAACTTCATATCCGAACAACAATACTATTCTATGAATCTATCACCACCTAAACTTTCTGTTCACAGGCTCCGAATGTTCAAAACAAGTGCCATAATATTACTCCTTGAAAGCAAATGATCATGTAATACAACTAGACTCCATCTAAACTCACATCCAAAAACGTTTTTATAATAAATACCTAAATTATAACCAAAAGATTATGTTAATTAAATATAATTCCGAAATTACTCTAAAACATGCATTTATTTCTTGAAAAAGTTTGGGTAATGCTATTTTACATTGATGTCTCAATATAAAACAATTAAATTTAAATTAAAAAGGTTTCTTTTCTAAGTGTGCATAAAACATGAAATTAATTCTAACTTAATTAATATCCTTAAGAGTAAAAAAAAAAAAAAAGGTTGAAGAGCAATTTTGTCTGATAAAAAAAAAAAAAAAAAGAAACATACCAATTTCTTTTCTTTTATTATTTATTTATTAAACCTCGAATTTTTTTTCTTTTTGTTGAAAAAAGTTTCAAGGCGAGAAGGACATATGGACACCAGCTAGTATTTGCATAAAAGAGTTAGTAGATCATAATTTTTTCCTAATTATTCAATTACAGTTCAAGAAACCCACCATCTTCCCTTAAAAGTATTTGGATTAGGATAATTAAACCAAAATTAATTACATACCACCAATCACATCTTAATTTATTTCTAGCAAACCCTCTCTTCTCCCTCACCAACTCTACACAAACTATAAATACCCCACAAATCCTCAAAGCAAAGCATCTCAACTTTTGATCATATGGCAGCTTTCAAGAATCTTGCTCTCTCTTTGTCCCTCACATTGCTGATCTCTAGCAATATCGCAACTGCAAGTAGAGACATTCTCATTAACAAACCAGGCAACAGCGTTTCATCAAGAATTGAAAGTGAGGGCAGCCTAGTTGAGTGCTTTGATGCACTCATGGAGATAAAATCTTGCACAAATGAGATTGTCTTATATTTCACGAATGGCCAAGCTGATGATATTGGCCCTGACTGTTGCCGTGCTATCCATACTATAACTCATAAATGCTGGCCAGCCATGTTTACTTCTCTTGGCTTCACTGATGAGGAAGGAAACATACTCAGAGGCTACTGTGATGCTTTTCCTTCATCCTCTACTCTTATTAGTCCTGCTTCTGCTCCTTCACCTCTTGCTCCCGGTTTGCCTGCACAATGTTAGCCTACGCTGCTTTGAAGAGGGTCGACGTTTAGTTTACTAGTTTTCTAGTACAGTTTCGTAAAAGGGTCTTGTTTGTTTTTGCTTTGGTCTGTTTTCTCTTGTTTCTGCTTTCCAAGTTTGAGTCTTCAATGTTTTTTTCCTGGTTTGGTGTATAGTGTGCTTATCCTTATGGAATAAAGTTGTGTTTTCTTAATGTTCTACTTTTCTCTCTGGCTATGATCCATCTATGCACAAGAGTTGTTGCTGAAGTATTGAATACCATTAGCCATTTGATCCAGCAATTAGCCTACTGTGACTTGACCACTTCCATGACCGCAGCACTCTTACCAGTTACTAAAAATGGCCATGCCTGCAGCTACAAGTTTACATTGTTTGTCACAAGTGAATTTCCAGCCGAGGGAAATAGGTGCCGTGTAGACTAGGGTTGTCATTCCTCAAGAAACTTGCTATTATCAAAGATTTGTCAACAAAGAAACATGCTACTATCCTTTTACTCATCAACACAAATAGCATTCCCTTTAAGAAAAGTGTGGTTCTTGAACCCTTATAATTTCCAATTACGTTGAGTTTGACTAGTAAATGTATCATGCCAAAAATCTGGCACAGAGGGGGTTAATAGGTTAGGATAATTCCAAATTTGCGTCATAGTTCTGATAATTTACCTTCATAGAACTTTGAACAACAAAGAAACTATTATGAAGACTATTGTTTGCTTCTTGATTTTGTACTTTTTATTACACACAGGCAAATAGTTTGGAATCAGCTGATTAAAAGTCACGGATCAAGTTTCAAGGAATCAATTATGAAAGCAATATGAAGAAAAATTGCGAAAGCCACTCGTCTTTTCCTACATTCCTTCACCACTTAACTAGTTTTAATTGCTAGTTTGAGATGCAAAGTTGCAAGTTACATAAGAGTACTCTGTCTTGTTCATCATCCTTGTGTCACAACAGTTCTGCTAAGTCTTAAGGTCAGATTGAAATCGCGCTACGTTACGTTAATTATTGATTAGGTTACTCAGTTGTGTTTAGCCAGATTCAATTCTATCGCACATCACAAACGCCTACATGCCAAATTTTCACTGCATCCTCTGTCACCAATCAATTTCCACAAGCCCTAGCTACTGAACGTGCAGGATAATCAAGGACTCTCCATATTCCATATGATTCAAAGACATTGAAATCTAGGCACCTGAAAACATCATCAAGGGCTATTATGAAGATCTTAATTCATAAATCCATTAACTTACAGTAACAGCTAAACCCTTTCATCTACTGTAGTATTAACAGTTACCACATTTCCTAATCTATCAAAATCTTCAATAAACCTCCCATTTACTCCTTTCCAGTCTCTTAAGCTCCCCATTATCATAGACATTTCAGCCAGCTCCTCTATAAAACCAAACTCCAAACTCCATTTCCTCCACACAGCCTCCTTTGCATTCCCCTCTTTCTCAAATGGATTACTCTATCAAGTTCTTGCTCACTTTCTTCCTAACATTCTCCACAGTCTCCATGCCCATGATGGCACATCCTCAAGTCTCCACCCACACAGCACTTGCAACACGCCTCCGATTAGATAACGAAGAATCCAGCTGCTGGGAGTCCTTATTCCACCTCCGGTCCTGCATCTCCAATGTCCTCCTCTTCTTCCTAAACGGGAGACTTATCTCGGCCCCAGCTGCTGCCACGCCATCCACACCATCGGACACCCATGCTGGCCTTCCATGCTTGGCTCTCTTGGTTTCACAGTTCAAGAAGGTGATATCCTGCTCGGCTACTGCGATGCCACTGCCCATTCATCTTCCCCACCACCAGAACCAATCTTTTATCCCAATCACACTTAAGCCCCAACTTAGTATTATCAGTAACTAAATAAAATGATTCATTCCTAGATTGCATGTTTCTTTTTTTCATATGTTTTTATGCAAATAACTTTCCTATTTTCATCGATCATGACTTAACTATGTGTTCAATATGATCATATTATATATTACAACGAAAAATTAAGCGTCGTCAGGCTCATTTTTTGTTTTCTGTTTAAAAAAACCTACCAAAAGATACCCAGAAGTATTCTGCACAGAATTGAAACAGAAACAGAAAATCTTAACCATTTATTCTGAAAAATTACACATTAAGCTCCGTTTGTTTATCTATGTACAGAATCTGAAGGGCCCTTATTTCCAACTAATTTTCAGTCGTAAAATGTTTGGTTACTAAGAAAATTATACCAAAACAATTTCATCCAATTTCTCAGCATCCAAACAGGGAAAAAAAAAAAAAAATCTCAAAACAAACTAAGTCTCAGAAATATCCTAGTAAAGAATCCATTATTGTGTCAACATCCAAACTGACCCTAACAGAAAAAAAAAAAAAATCACGGAAGCTAAAATCAAAGGTGATGGAACTTTGCAAATGCACCATGCGTAACAGCATCACCATGAGTGCCGCCGCCGACAATACCCCCACCATGGGCACCGTTAAATCTCCTCCCTCGCCGATTATTCCTTCTCCTGTCGCTGTTCCGCCTAGTCTTCCTTTGGTTCCGTCCATTCCTTCTCCGCCATGGAGTCCTCCCCGTCAGTGGAGAACTCAGGTCTGCAGACCAAATAGCATCCGCCGGAGACGACGTCGCAGCCTCAAACGACGTGTCTTGAACTCTGTCATCGAATCCAGCAACAATAATCCCGTCAAGTCCATGAACAGCAATGTTAGACCCAAGAAAAAGATCCGGAACCGAAACCCGAACCCGATTAACCAAAAAGGAGCCAACGACGGTACCGTTTAGGAGCGCCAGAGAGTTGTTAACCAAAAGACGGTGATTTGGCACCAAAGAATCAATGTAGGGTCCACCGGAGGAGGAGGCGGCGGCGGTCAAGTTTCTTAAGTCTGACGTGGTGAGGCGAGAGGGTGACACGTGGAGGGAGAGGGATTTGGTGTAGTGAGGAGCAGTGGAGGCGAGGTCAAGAGAGAAGAGGAGGGAGTCAGGCGGGGAAAAGAGAGTGAAGGTTGAAAGTGACGACGTGGCGGTGGTTGATTGGTTGAGAAGTTGGAGGCGGAGATCAGATGTGGAGATGGCATTGGGGAAAAGTGAGTAGCCTTGTAATCGGAGGGAAGAGAGGGCAAAGTCAAGTTCTTGGTCGGTGAGTTTCGCGGTTGTGATTTGGTGGAGGAGAGAGATGAGGAAGAGCTGGAGGAGAGTCTTGGCCGTTGACGTGAAGATCTTGAAGTTTTGGGGTTCCATTTTTCTTGAGAGAGAGAGAGAGAGAGGGAGTTCTTAGAGAGAGAATGGAGTTGAGTTAGTTGAGATTTCAGTTAATTTTGGCGGGCTTTTGAAGTTGTTTGAATGAGAGACAGTGGAGAGGTGTTGAGGGGATTATATTTGGGGTGTGAATGGATCTCTTGCAGTTGGATTATGGATGGAACGTTTCTGATGTGTGGTTGAGATCCAATAAGAGGAATCTTTAGAAGGGCCAGGATTGCAGCCTTCAAATCGGAAGTGGGGGATTGGGCTTTTGTTTTAGGACCTTGGAAAAGCCCATAGGGTATTATTTTTAATTCACGAAAACATTTTAGGATCTAAAATTACATCCTTTGGTGGCAAGTGATTTTGCTTTTTATATTATTATCATGCAACTTAGCATTGTGATAAGAGAGATTATATATATATATATATATATATGCAATTTTTGATGTAAAAACAATGTTATACATACAAACAAATCATATAAAATTTTCTTATAAATTAATTAATATGGCTTTTTATAAAAAGAAAAAAAGTAACTAGCATGGAAACTATAATTTAATTTATTTTATGTAATTCATGATTCATAATTTATCATTACATGCATGATCTGTTGGTATGAAAACTTTAGTATAGTAGATCATTTTTAATAGTTTCCAAATGATAATTAGCTATCGTTATTACATCCATCTTTTTCTTTTTCACAATTTATAATTTTTGTATTTTTGGATTAGGTTTTGTATCAATTGAGACTAAATGTATCATTTTTTGAGTTAGGTTATTGGTTGATTCTAATAATCAACTTTTTAAATTGATCAATAATCTATATCTAGTGCCACAAAGAGGAGATGAAAAATTTTTCAAAGGTAATTAAGAATTGAATTCTTATCTTGATAGGTCAGAAACATTCTTCTTACCACTCCGTCCTTCATTCTTTGATAATTCACAAATTATAATTTATCGGTAGATACATAATCTGTTTGTATAAAATTTAGTATGATAAATCGTTTTTATGAGATAAATGTTAGGGACGAGTTTCATTTTCATTTATTCAAGCTCAATCATTCTCATTATTAATAGCTGCTATATGGTAGCTAGCTATTATTATTACTTTCATCTTTTCTTTTTCACAATTTATAATTTATCATTAAATACTTGGTCTGATTGTATCAAATTTAAGTATAGTATATCATTTTTGTTGACATGCATGTTATCGGTCAGTTTCGTTTCCAATTGTTCAAACTCTTTTATTCTTATTATTAATAGCTTTCAAATGGTAGCTATCATTATTACATTGACCCTTTTTTTTAACAAGTAAATATAAAAACGAAGACATATATTTTATTCCACAATAGCAATGCCACACACCCACGTATATACTATTTCCTTAGAACCTTGATTCCCCTCCAACGAGACTCCATAAAATTAGAGGGACTATCTTGTGTATAAACTCCAAATTTGAAGTAATGAGACGAAGCCCCATTCCCATTTGCTTGGTGCACCAATGACCCATCAATGTAGACCTTGACTTTTGGGATACCAACATCATGGATCACATTGACTCTAAACCATCTATTATAGATGTTTTGGACAATTGGAGTCCTGTAGTAAGATAATGCACCATTGTAGACTCTAAGCATCATGGTTGTGGCAGCACTAGTGCCTCCAAATACTTGCATTATGGACACACCAGTTGTGCCTGATGGCACGTACGCATATCCTTCAAATTGCCAGACACCGGAAGTGTAGTCATAGCCCTGTTGAATATATATAGATTGAATGAGTCATGCATTAGCCATTGGGAAAGTGGAGACATGTTATCAAGAAAATCAAGAGAAATGTTCTTTTCAGTTGCATGTTACTTACTTGAATGCGGACCTCAGTCCTGGGTTTAGTATCGCTATCAGACTTGAAAGGCTTGTCGGTAGAGTAAACCCACAGCTTGTGGATGCCATTTTGGAAGCTATATCGGTCACTTACTGATACATCATAGGGCTTATGGATGATAAAGTTTGATGAACCCAACGGAAGGGAAGTGAACCCATCTGTGGGATCAGCAGTGGCTTGGTATGGCATGAGCTCAATGAGATTGAGAGACATGAGGGTTAAGAGAATAATGGAAGCCATTTTAGTAGAGTGAGTTGAGGAAGAAAGGAGGAGGTTTATGGGTTTTAGGCAATGAAGCATGAAGTGCAAAACTTGGATATAAATAGGGGTGGGAGGAAAGATTATTAATAATTCAATGATAGGGTATGGCCCAGGCAGGGAAATCTGCTAGGATAAGAAATCTTTTGTTCCATAAGTTTTTTGGTGATCATTATGAGCATCAAGCATGGGATTTTTTTGTTTTTTTTTTTGTTTTACATGTTTTTGGGATGGGCGGCTATGGCTATGAACATGGAATTATCAATAAAACTAAAATAAAACATGTTTTTATTATTTATTCATTAGTCAAAATACTATTCACACATTCACATATCACTATTCACACACTTACAAATCATTATTCTTTTAACAATTTATGAGATTTTTGTAACACTTTAGTTCTCAATTTTTCTATATATATATATATATATATTTTTTCAATTTCAAACTTTAATTGCGTTGTGATTTGATTTCATTTTGTTTTAGTATTTTTTATTAATTATTTTTATTATTTAAAATTTACTAATTTAATTTGTTATTTTTTTTTTAAATTCTCCTTCTTTTTTCAATTTCAAACTTTAATTATATTATGATTTAATCCCATTTTGTTTTAATATTTTTTTATTAATTATTTTTATTATTTAAAATTTATTACTTTAATTTCTCATTTTTTTTTAAATTTTCATCCAATGAATTTAAACTGACAGCTTTTGATTTATTTTTCTATATGTATAGAATTTGACATAAATTTTTAGAATATGATTATTTTTTCTTTTAAAAAATAGATTTAGATAATTTTTAAATTATAGTGACATGATTACACTACAACAAATTTAAAATTTAGCTACGAAAATATTCGTCCCCAAACAATTGAAATTCGTCGGTGAAAAAGTTTTGGGACGCAAAGCTAAATCATCCCTAAAAGCCGCAAAGCTAATTGTATTTACGGACTCAAAGTAAAAATCATCCCTAAAGGATAATCTTTGCCAATGACTTTGACTTTCGTCCATGAATATCGATCATTTGTGGATAATTATTTCGTTTTAGAATTTATCCATTTTTGTCCGAATTACTCCATTTCATTTGCAATTGTGGAAGATTTGAGTAGGGGGAAAACATTTTTATTAACGATAAAAATTTATCGCAAAATGTAACTATAAAATGGTGAGAAAACATTTCGTCCGCAATACTTATTTTTTTAGACAAAAAATTTCATCCCTATTGGCTTATAATATTTTTAGACGACAAATTTCAGTCATGATTGCTTGCAATTTGGGATGATAAATTTTGTTGTTGATTACTTGCATTTTTTTAGTGACAAATTTTGTCCCCGATTGCTTTTATTTTGAAATGGTAAATTACATTCCCGATTGCTTGTATTTTATGATGATATATTCCATTCTTAATTGCCTTTATTTTTTGAACAATAAATTTTTTCCATGATTGTTTTATTTTTTCACCAAAAATACTATTAGCATTACATTTCATCTATAATATTATTTGTATCTATAATAAATCAAATAAATAAACAAAACCATTGATACGAACTAAATATACTATCGCACGAAATGAAATTTCATAACATTGTCTAATCAATATGTAACATAGGCTATTAACATAACCTCTAAGAAAAAGTTCAAAATGGAACTAAGCTATTCTAGTAACTAGATATTGTATTCCTAAAAAACTCTTCTCTCACTAGCTTGTATTAGTGGGGAAGTCCAAAATTTGAGCCCTACTCTTGTAACCCTAAGAACCAATAAAAAAGGAAAAAGGGAAAACAAAGAAAAAAAAAGATGATAGCATGTAACAAGGAATGTGCACAATGCAATCCATATCTTCTAGCGAGACCATTCATTAGATCCATATTCAAGGAAGTCAAGATGGTGAAAAAAGTAATTAGAGAGAGAGAGAGAGAGAGAGAGAGAGAGAGAGAGACTTATTGTGAAGTAAGTTTTAGCACAGTGACCAACAACTATGGAAAGGACAACAACAATGACCCAAATATCGGCCTTGGGCATTTCGGTACGAACCAATTACAGCAACCTACAAAGAAAGGCATGTTAAGAATGTTAGAACAAAATTATTGAAACCTAAAGAAAGGCGACTATTTTTGGTTTCATTTCTTGTCCGATTTTAATCGCAGTCCCGATGACACTCTATGAGATGAAGGTGAGTAATCCTTGCTCTAAAGCTTGTAGTTTGGGAAAGGATTGCCGGATGGATGAAATCATGTTTCCATGCAATTTATATGCTTAAGTTCAGTTTTTTTTTTTAACGTATCAATGCCCCATAGAAATTTATGTTTTGTTTTGTCAAATAATTTGACATGTCCGTATTATTCTCATTTCCTGGATTATATATATTTTTTTCATTGGCTTCACAAATGTTCAAATGCTCGAAAACTAGATTACTCTTTAAGTATACAAAATAATAATTCACTCGAGTTGATCTCATTATTGGGTGCTGGTTCAAAATTGTACCTTAGTGAAGCAAGCATAAACTAAAACTTAACCTAGTCATTTTCAAAATACTTGTATAAGAATCTTAGATTGCTCAATGATGAACTTGCAATATGAGAAGGAGGACCTAAAATAGGATGACAAACAATAAGATTTTGAAGAATCTCTTAAAAGAAAAATCATGTATAGTTTCTAACTTGTAATTGAAAACTTACAAACACTTCCATGCCTTGCAATTTCAACATAAATATAGTGGAATCGCTCGATGGCGGACTCGATGCCAAAAGGCATGCTTACGCTTGAAAAGCTTCTTCATCAATTTCTTATTTTTGTTAAGCTTCTTCAATGCTTCAACATCCATCCATGGAAAGACTACGTATTCACGCTCGTCAATATAAATTAGAATTTCCATAACAAAAAAAAAATCCATACATGAAATTTGTCGAATGTATTTAATTACGTTAGTAATACATCTCAAGAACACTTTCGAACACCATATTTTCAACTCAAAATACAATTCTTAGATAAAATCTATGGAGAGAATAACAATGATTGCAAACGACCTATATGATTGCAAACTAACTCTGCTAATGTAATTTTGTCGGCAATACATAGACTTTAGTTCTTCAATGGCCTATGTGATTGCAAATGCAAGAATTACCAACTCATAGCAACATGGTATCTTATTTGTACAATAATGTTTGCCACTTTTGTGGATAAAAAGTCCTTAACATATATGAAATTGTTGTATATAAGACTCGATAAAAAAACAGCAATTTTTCAAAGGCTATTAGACTCAAGGCTAATAAAATATTTCACGAAAATGAAGTAACATCAATTTGTTCATTTATTCTTGATTGTTCTATATAGCATTAATGTGAATCTAAAAAAGATAAATGTCCTCAAACCACACTCATTTTTGGATATCATCTAGCTTTAATGATCAAGGGGATTCCTGTTGCCATTTATTTTTAGAATTTAAAGGTTTTGCAAAGTTTTATTGGAAAAACCCCACTTTTAAGAAAATAGAGGAAAGAAAAAAACTAGAATTTTCCACATATTAGAACTGGAAAACAAATGGCCATATTTAAAAACTTCACAGATTCTAAGAACATCTATGTTTTAAGGTGAAATTTATATCTATGCTACATAAGTTCCTTTTTTTGACGCAACTAAACCCTCATAGAAAATATCGGAAGGTGAATCAAATTAAGAATATTCAAAGAAAAACTCACCGTTATAGAACCAAACCTTCTTCTCACGTTTACGATCCGCTTTAGACACAACATCTTGTCTATAACCATAAAATAAAAAAAAATTCAAAAGAAGAGAAGACATTAATTAATTATAACATAATTGAGAAATCAAGAAAACGAAAAGGAACTTACGAGAAATGAGGAGACTTTTTTTTGCTTTTTTGCATTAGCGTACCTTGACTTTTCCATAATCGAAGATTCTAAATGTAGTTTGTTAAAGAAATTGTAGGCATGCTTGTGAAAGCAAATAAACTCTAGGGTTTCATCGGTTTAGCTATTAAATTACAAGAGGAACAAAAGTTATAGAGAGGAAGAAGGAGAACTATAAATTATAATGCCGCTCCTAGGGTTTAATTGAAATGATTTTCGAGAAGGAGAAGAAGAAAGGAGAGTGAGATCCGGGGAAGAAAAGAGAGAGAAAGGGAAGGAAGAATGAGGAGAAGAAGAAAAAACGGAGGGATGAACTGGTTCGTCCATGGAGATGAGGCGAGAGAGAGAGAGGGAAGAAGAAGAAGAGAGAAGTGAGAGGAAAAAGAGAATGAAATTGAGAGAGAAGATGAGAGAAAAAAGAGAAGGAGGGAGTTTGATCCAAAAAAATTTGGAGGAATTGATTTTGGGTTGGCCTTAAAATGAGGGACTATGGTCGAGCCGACCTAGCCCAAAAATTAAAATAAAAAAATTAATTAGTTCATATCTAACCATATAGGACTACTTAATTTTGTCCCTAATTTATATCTAATCATGTGCGACGACTTGGTTTTTATCCCTAATTGATATTTAACCATGTGAAATGATTTGGATTCATCCTAAAATAAATTTAAATTTTAAGACGTATAATTTCATCCTAAAATATTATAATTCGTCTTAAAATAGTTTATTTTCATAAGAGGTGTGCGTGAAAAGTCGGGCGTGGGTTAAAAAAATTGAGGTCGGTGATTTGGGGACGAAATATGAATTTCATCAAGAAATATTCGTATTTTGGGAAAAAAATGAATGAGTAGGTAAAAATTTTGTAGCTAAATTGAAAATTTGTTGTAGTGTTAATATATATAATTTGTCCGAAATACATTTTTATATAATTTGTCTTAGATAAATTTTTAGATTAAAAGTGTATTTCAAATAAGTTTTTTTTTTATTTTTTAATATTATTTTAAATTTATTACATTAATTTGTCACTTTTTTAAAATGTTTTTTTTCCAATTTGAAACTTTGATTATTTTGTGATTTGCTCCCATTTTGTTTTAGTGTTTTTTGTTAATTATTTTTATTATTTAAAAGTTACTACTTTAATTTGTCATTTTAAAAAAAATTTTAATCTAATTAATTTAAAATTATATTTACTAAAATTTTTGATTTATTGTTTTATATATATGGATTTTGGAATAAATTTTGAGAATATGATTATTTTTTTTTGAAAAATAGATTTAGATAATTTTTAAATTATATTGGCATGATTAATATATATAATTTTTCTAAAATAAAATTTTAGATTAAAAGTGTTTTTCAAATAATTTTTTCTTAGTTTTTTTAATGTTATTTAAAATTTAAAACATTAATTTGTCATTTTTTTAAACTCTTTTTTTTTCAATTTCAAACTTTAATTATATTATGATTTGGTCCCATTTTGTTTTACAATTTTTTGTTAATTATTTTTATTATTTAAAATTTACAACTTTAATTTGCATTTTTTAAAAAGCTGTCATCTAATTAATTTAAAATCATATTTACTAACAATTTTGATTTATTTTTCTCTATTTATGGATTTTGGAATAAATTTTTGGAACATGATTATTTTTTTTGAAAAATAGATTTAGATAATTTTTAAATTATAGTGGCATGATTAATATATATAATTTTTCTAAAATATATTTTTAGATTAAAAGTATTTTTCAAATAATTTCTCAATTTTTTTAATGTTATTTAAAATTTACAGCATTAATTTGTCATTTTTTTTAGACTCTCTCTCTGTTTTTTTTTTTTCAATTTCAAACTTTGATTATATTATGATTTGGTCATATTTTATTTTAATTTTTTTGTTAATTATTTTTATTATTTAAAATTTACTTCTTTAATATTCTATTTTTTTAAAATTCTCATCTAATTAATTTAAACTTATTTTTATTAATAATTTTGATTTATTTTTCTATATGTATGGATTTTGGAATAAAGTTTTAGAATATGATTATTTTTTCTTTTGAGAAATAGATTTAGATAACTTTTAATTTACAGTGGCATGATTAATATATATAATTTGTCTAAAATATATTTTTAGATTAAAAATTTATTTCAAATAATTTTTTCTTGATTTGTTTTTATATAAAAAAGCTCAAATTAATTAATGAATAGTTGAAAGTCAAATTAATGTAGTTTTTTATTTTAATATTATTCATTATTTTGTAAATAAATATGTAAAAATTAAATTCATATTTTTTCAAAAACTGATATTCTCTTCAACATTAAATAAGAAAAATTATTTGTTCAATTCTATATAAGCTTTTTAATAATTTTTATTTATATTTTTTGACTCAATCTTATGAAATACTAAAGTTTTTTTTTAAAAAATTATTTAATTTGATTTTTAGTTAATAATCCATGGATTAAAAAGGATAAATCCTTTTTCTAAAGAAAAAATTATGAAAAATATAAACAAGATTTAGTTAAATATAATTTTTTATTAAAAATTTATAAATAATTTTTTCACATTTGATTTCATATATTTTTATAAATTCAAACTATAAAACAAATTATCGAATTAAAATGATTTCTCTAAATAATTTTATATATTTTATTCAATCAAGTAACATAGTATAGACAAAAAACTAGTTTTTACCAAACAAGAATATGAAAAACTGAGTATACAAGCAACACGAAGTTTGAAAGAGCTACCTAGTATGTAGTTGCCAATATGGAACATGGACGAGTCTTTTCTCTCACCATGACCATTACATTCAAATTATTTTTACCTTGAAAATCAATACTCTCGACAATATTGGAAGTTTGAGCTCCAAATTAGATCAACTTCGCTTTTTTTTTTTGTTATTAATATGATGAAAATATTGTAGTACAATATATATTATTAGAACAAAGCTAAAAATTAAAAATTAAAACCAAACACTAAATCTACAATGAATTTTCTAAATCTATGAAAACATTAACCATAAATGAAAAGTAATGATAATATAATTGTAGTGCATTTAAGAAAATCCTCCATAGATTTATTATTATTTTTTTTTTGTTAAAAGAAAAAAAAAACAGATTTAATCTATTAGACCCGTAGCTTTTTTTTTTTTTTTGAATCAAAGTTTGAGTTCTAATAATTTTAATTTACTTATTGATTATGTAATGAAAAATAGTAACTTGGTGACTTTTGGGTATAAATGTTAAGCTGCTTTAAGAAGCTAAGCATTAAACTAAGGTGTTGTTTGGTAATCAAGAATAAAACAATGAGAATAAGAATATAGGAATCAAAATGAAAAACAAGAAATGAGAATGGGAATGAGAATCAAAATACCGTGTTTGATATCTTACTATTAGGAATCGGAATGAAACACTCAAATAACTATTACTATGTTTGGTATAGACAAATAGAAATCAAAATGATATCATATATTTATCATTATATCCTTGAATAAGCATAATAAATTTTATCATAAAAGTAATTACAATTTAAAAAAAAAGATTATATGAATGGAACAGATCGGCGTGCTTAAGTGGCATTTGAACCTAGAAACAAAAAGGCCTCACTCTGTTCTCCAGCTCCACTTAAAAAAATTCAAATTCAATAGGAATACAATTGAGCTTGTTAATGTCATACCTCATCAAAGGAAAGTGATTCCTTGGAATGGGAAACCATTAGATCGTGATCATCAAGTATTGATCGTGGGTCAAACATGAATGCATCATGAGGAGTAAATGGTTTCTAACAATTGCCAATCCAACATCATCTCTTAGATAATAATAAAGATGAATCGATAATTCACTTTTCAAGATTCTGATCCCAAGATTGATTAATCTTCAATTGTTTTGGTCTTGTTGTGTAAAATGCAAATGATAGACCCTAGTCCTACGCAGGAAAAAGATGTCAATCAATTCAAAAGAAAAATTTATGAAAGCAACATGAAAAGACTACTTTATTAGTTATGAAAAAAACGTAGATGCCTTTTTATTTTCAAACCCTAAATAATAGAAGGGAGAGGAAAAGGACCTCTCATGGGATTTCCTCACTTCTTTAAAGTTTAAATATCTAAAACGTAGATGCCTTTCACTTAATCTAAACCGACACTGATCATAGAGTCGGTCACTTACCAAAGGTATATGAAGTGGATCCCATAACTACAAAAATAAAGTCACAGTTTGAAGAAAAAATTCGGTTTAAACTATTGATAAGGTCTTAGCCGCGTCTCTTCCCTCATCTTTAGGATACCAAATAATTTCTTGGTCGATGAGTTTAGCGGTTGTGATTTGCTGGAGGAGACAGATGAGGAGGAGTTGGAGGAGAGTCTTGGCCGTTGATGTGAAGATCTTGAAGTTTTGGGGTTCCATTTTTCTTGAGAGAGAGAGAGAGAGAGAGAGGGAGTTCTTAGAGAGAGAATGGAGTTGAGTTAGTTGAGATTTCAGTTAATTTTGGCGGGCTTTTGAAGTTGTTTGAATGAGAGACAGTGGAGAGGTGTTGAGGGGATTATATTTGGGGTGTGAATGGATCTCTTGCAGTTGGATTATGGATGGAACGTTTCTGATGTGTGGTTGAGATCCAATAAGAGGAATCTTTAGAAGGGCCAGGATTGCAGCCTTCAAATCGGAAGTGGGGGATTGGGCTTTTGTTTTAGGACCTTGGAAAAGCCCAGAGGGTATTATTTTTAATTCACGAAAACATTTTAGGATCTAAAATTACATCATTTGGTGGCAAGTGATTTTGCTTTTTATATTATTATCATGCAACTTAGTATTATGGATTACGTTGACTAGCTATCATTATTATTCTTATTATTAATAGCTTTCAAATAGTAGCTAGCTATCATTATTACATTGACTTTTTTTTTTTTTTAACAAGTAAATATAAAAACGAAGACATATATTTTATTCCACAATAGCAATGCCACACACCCACGTATATACTATTTCCTTAGAACCTTGATTCCCCTCCAACGAGACTCCATATAATTAGAGGGACTATCTTGTGTATAAACTCCAAATTTGAAGTAATGAGACGAAGCCCCATTCCCATTTGCTTGGTGCACCAATGACCCATCAATGTAGACCTTGACTTTTGAGGCACCAACATCATGGATTACGTTGACTCTAAACCATCTATTATAGATGTTTTGGACAATTGGAGTCCTGTAGTAAGATAATGCACCATTGTAGACTCTAAGCATCATGGTTGTGGCAGCACTAGTGCCTCCAAATACTTGCATTATGGACACACCAGTTGTGCCTGATGGCACGTATGCATATCCTTCAAATTGCCAGACACCGGAAGTGTAGTCATAGCCCTGTTGAATATATATAGATTGAATGAGTCATGCATTAGCCATTGGGAAAGTGGAGACATGTTATAAAAAAAATCAAGATAAATGTTCTTTTCAGTTGCATGTTACTTACCTGAATGCGGACCTCAGTCCTGGGTTTAGTGTTGCTACCAGGCATGAAAGGCTTGTCGGTAGAGTAAACCCACAGCTTGTGGATGCCATTTTGGAAGCTATATCGGTCACTTACTGATACGTCATAGGGCTTATGGATGATAAAGTTTGATGAACCCAACGAAAGGGAAGTGAACCCATCTGTGGGATCAGCGATGGCTTGGTATGGCATGAGCTGAATAAGGCTGAGAGACATGAGGGTTAAGAGAATAATGGAAGCCATTTTAGTAGAGCGAGTTGAGGAAGAAAGGAAGAGGTTTATGGGTTTTAGGCAATGAAGAATGAAGTGCAAAACTTGGATATAAATAGGGATGGGAGGAAAGATTATTAATAATTGAATGATAGGGTATGGCCCAAGCAGGGAAATCTGCTAGGATAAGAAATCTTCCCGTCCATAAGTTTTTTGGCGATCAAGATGAATATCAAGTATGGATTTTTTTTTTTTTTTTTTGGGGTGGGCGGCGGCGGCGGCTATGACTATGGGATTTTTACTCAAACGAGAATATGAAAAATGAGAGTGCACGCAACAAGAAGTTTGGAAGAGCTGCCTTGTACGTAGTTGCCAATATGGAGCATGGACAATGTTTTCTCTCACCATGATCATTACATTCAAATTAACAATATTGGAAGTTTGAGCTCCAAATTAGATCAGCTTTGCTTTTTTTTTTTTTTTGTCATTAATATGATGAAAATATTGTGGTTCAATAAATATTATTTAAAAAAAAAACTATAAATTAAAAATTAAAACCAAACACTAAATCTAAGATGAATTTTCTAAATCTATGAAAATATTAACCATAAATGAATGAAAAGTGATGCATAGTATAAATGTGTGCCCGGTAGCTTCTTTTCTTGAATCAAGATTTGAGTTCTAATAATTTTAATTTTTTTGTTAATTATGTAATGCAAAATAAGTATATTTCAGTGTATAGTTCAAAATCCACAAGTCTCCCGGTAATAGAAGCAAGACAAGTTTAAAATATTAAATAAAAACTTGTTGACTTTTGGGTATAAATGTTAACTGCTTTAAGAAGCTAAGCATTAAACTAAAACTTCTGAGTTTAGGGGTGCATTAACTGTAGCTTTTTATTTTCAAACCCTAAATAATAGAAGGGGAGGAAAAGGACCTCTCATGGAACTTAGATGCCTTTTACTTAGTCTAAACCGACACTGATCATAGAGTCGGTCACTTACCAAACGTACATGAAGTGGATCCCATAATTACAAAAATAGAGTCACAATTTGAAGAAAAAATTCGGTTTACACTGTGGATAAGGTCTTAGCCGCCTCTCTTCCCTTATCTTTAGGATACCAAATAGGAGTTGTCATTATTATCATTCCACGGCTAAATTGTACGTACAGACACTCCCTCGATTATATAGGTCATTTTTAATTGACATTTCCTGCAGCACTGTTGTTGTTTTCAGATTTCAATTCTCAAACTATGTGGTGTCTTGATTCATACTTTTTATGTTACACTCCGTCCGTTTTAACCGTTAAATATAACAAGCACGTCATATGTTTTGCTTAAAAAAAAAAACAAATTAATAGTAACAAAAAGTCAAATTAATCTAGGTTAATTTCTTGATGATAATTTACTATATTGTAAATGATGTTTTTATTCTAATATTAGTAGAGATTAACATTTTAAAATTTTATACCAAAATTTGACGATAGTTTGATATTTTATATGAGAAAATTAACACATGCAACATTCAACTTATTTAATGGAAAAGTAGATGAAATGTAATAGTAGATGTGTCAATCAAAACACCTTATAGTTTATAAGTTAAAATCAGAAGAAAAAATAAAAAAAATCAAGAGATGTGAATTTAAAAGATCTATGAGGTGTTTGTACATATTAACTTTTTTTTTCATTATTTTCAGTCCTTTTATAATTATTATTTTTCCTCTTTAAAAGCTTATGGTGAAATTGATTTCTTTTTCTTGTGCTTTGTGCTGGTTTGATTTTAGGTATTAGTTTGCAATTAAAAAAAAAGTTTTTTTTTTCCTTTTACATGTGGATGTATAGTCTAATAAGGAAGAAGAATCGCTTTGTATTCCATGATCATAGTTATCTTTGTGAAAATTGTTAAATTAGGTTTCAATGACCTAGATACATATGATAGATTTCATATGCAAAGAGAAATTTTTTGCCTTCTTATGCTTATAAGATTAAAAGATTTAGGTTTTTTTTTAGTCCAAAGTCCAAAAAAAAAAAAAATGTTATATCCTAAAAGTAATTAGTAAAAACTGATTATGAGAAAGACATACATTCCCCTGTTTCTCTTATAAGCATCCAAAATGATAATTTTATTTATGAGTACAAAACGCCTAAATAACACACATTACATTGTTCACATACTTTCACATACATAGATCATTTTCACTATTTGGAAAAAAAAAAATTACACTTTGCTCTCTCATTTTTTAACAAACTTTTGTTTCATTCTCAAACTTCATTCGTGTTTCATTTTGGTCCTTTGCAGTTTGGAGTATAGAGAAATGAAGATAGAGAAGGAAGGAGAGAGAAAGAGGAAGAGAGAAAGGGATGATGAGACTCATTCTAGCCATCTCGATGATCAAGCTCATTACTAATTTGTTCATCTTTAATAGTGGAATTCATTTGTGATGGTCACAAGCCCATGAAATGATATGAGAAGATAGATCGAAAGCCCAAAATATTTTGAGTTTTTTTTTTTGAATATTTTTATGTGTATTTAAATGGATTATGATGTTCTAAACCAATTTGCTAATGTTATTTATATGATTTTGAGGTATTTTTAGACAAAAATGGGGTAAATTTTTATTTTGAGAGGCCAAAAATTGTATAACCCAACTTTCCGGTGATTTTTCTAACAAAATTGAGGTTACCAAAAATTACGAGAGGTTGTCGAAAATTAAATGCTATCATTGTTCTTTGGTATCTTGGCTCGCGGGCTAGGTAGTCCACGCCCAAGCATACGGGCCTAGTTCTCTAAGCCTAATTGTGCGAGCCTAGTCCTTGAGGCCTAAATATGTGAGCCTACACTTTTTTTTCTTTAATTTTTTATAATAAGAATTTTTATGTAAAAATTGAGGAACATCGAGAGTTATTGTTTATGTTTTTCATTTAACTCGACAATGATAAAATATATATAATATCTTTTTATATTTTAAAATTAATATATGTTTTAGATTAAATTACTCTTATTATTTAAAATTTATTCTTTGAATTTATTCCTTGATATGGTATCATATTCTTGATGACCAAACGGTTACAAGTTCAAATCTCATCACTTTCACTTGAAAGAGTGTGTTAGAGAGTAATATAAGAACTATTCCTCGAGCTTCACCCATCGACTTAAACTTTTGGATTGAGATGGTTATTTAATATGGTATCCAAGTTTTGATGATCAAATGATTATGAGTTCGAATCTCACAATCCTCACTTTCTCTTTTAATTAAGCACAAGGTAATGATGGGTGTGTGTAAATTTTTTAATTAAACATAAGGTAATAGTGAGTCCGTATAGGTTTCATGCCTAAAAATCTTTCACTTGAGGGGATATTTTAGAAAATAATATAAAATTATTTTTGAAATCTCAGCCAACAACTTAAACTTTTAAGTTGAGATTGTTCATTGATATCTTCAAGTTAGCTATACGTTTTTTTTTAGGAGTCTATCTCTCCATAGGTACATATGAGGGCAAGTTCCTAGTCATAGAAAAAAGATATAGAAGTTAATTTAGAACATGATAATATGTGATTTCAAAATAATGATGATGACGACGACGATAAATCATTAAATTGAAACTTGGTGACTTTGGGTATAAATGTTAACAGCTTTAAGAAGCTAAGCATTAAACTAAAACTTCTGACTTTTATAGATACGTTAACTACTTTTCACTAATAATTTTTTGGTTTTCAAACCCTAAATAATGGAACGGATTGGAAAACAACCTTTCGTGGGATTCCTTCGCTTCTTTAAAGTTTAAAAATCTAGAACTTTAGATTCATTTCACTTTTCTTACGGATACTGATAGTAGGCTTTATAATTACAAAAGCAAAGTTACAGTCTGAAGAAAAAATCGGTTTGAAACTTGATAAGGTCTTAGCTGCCTTTCTTCGCTTTTCTTTAGGATACCAAATTGGAGTTTCTTTATCACAACCTCAATTTTATATCATTATAATTAACAACCCTTTATTTTATTACATTTTTGTTTCAACCTTTAAATTATAGACTTTTTTTTCATTGACACAATTTGTTATATTTCGTTCGGTTTATCCTTTAAGTATAAAAAGCAAATCGTTGCTAAAAAAAAAAAGCTACAGAAAGTCATAAAATTGTTGAAGGTTAATTTCTTGATGATAATTTATTGTAAATGATGTTTCTATTCTAATATTAATGGTGATTAACTTTTAATTTTTTTTTCTATTAAATTTTGATGATAGTTTGATATTTTATATAAGGAAATTAACATATGCAAAATTCAAGTTTTTTGAAAATAGATGGAATGTAGCGATAGACCTGTCAATCAAAACATTGTACAATTTATGTGTTGAAGAGGTGTTAATTAAAAAGACTTGTAGTTCAAGAAGTGTTTGTACAAATTAGGCTCATTTCATTATTATTTAATCCTTTTATAGTTTTTTTTTTTTGGAATTTTATGATATAATTAATTAAATTAATTGATTTTATTTTCTTATGCTTTTGTGCTTATTTGATTTTAGGGATTGCACTACCAAAAAAAAAAAAAAAATATTAGCGATGAACATGAATTAGTTATCAAACAATGATTGATTAGTGAATGTGTAAAGACGATTATCAATCCCTATACATTTTGGGATAATAGCGATAGAATATCGTCCGATTAACAACAAACATCGGTAATAGAATAACACCGTCATTCAATTTATTTTTGACGAGTTAATTTAGTGATGAAATACCAACTAGTTTACAATAAAAAATTGTGTCCGTTGCTAATTTTGGGGGAGATGATTAAACAAAAAAGAAGAAAAAAAAACCAATGATGAAAAATTATAAATAGTGATTGACGGTAGTTCACCGCTAACTTTTTGAAAAAATTAACATAATTTCAAAGTTCAAACAACAACGTACACTTACTATTAGCGATGAGATTGTGTCCATCACTAATTGCTGCAAAAAATGGCACTCGTTTCAAAAATTGAACAATGACGAACACTTATTCTTAGCAACAAAATCGCATCCGTTGCTAAGAAA